ATATTTATTAGATTCCACTTAAAGAGATGGTTCAAATTAATCACTACTGTGTATAGTTTGCCAAGAAACTAGTGATCATATTTACAAGAAAGTCATCGTGATTGGAGCCTAGTAAGTGTAGAACATATGAAGCAAAACTAAAACTTCGATTAAAAGTTTTTGCAATAACCAGAAGTTTCAACACCTCCAAACTCGCCCTCCAGTAACACTAACAGACAAAGGTGATTGTGACATACAGTTAATTAAGCAGCTGAACATAAAATATATGACTCACCCTCTTCATCAAAACTGTCAGTCCCTGGTATTTGAAAGGTTTTGAGAACTTCACAGCCAGAGACCTGTCAGGAGTTATAGTTAAAGGAGCCACAATGAGATCTGCCTTTTTCTTCAAAAGCTCACCCATCATTCCATTCCACTCTTGGGCTGTCCTATTGTTCTAAAATACAACATACCTTAGTTATTTTCTAGAGTCATGCTTACACTGAAATGCCTGCACTGAATCTGATTCAATTTTACATTTATCTCAGCCTTGTTCAGCTAGGAGTAAAAGACAGTTCTAACAAATAAAGTGTTCAATGAATACCACAGAATGTCTCTTGCTGTGACACAAAATTTGTTAAATATCTAAGACCCCATTTCCAGAGATTAGATCGATCTACTTTAGATCGACCTAACTCCCTGGGGGTTCACGTTAAATAGCTGTCAGCCGAGTGGACACGAAAGTTAATTACCCCCTTACAGCTTGTAGTAGGCGGGACAGACATTTAAGCCGGATTATCTGACAGTAATCTAGTGAGACTCCCCACGGGGAAAGATCGATCTAAAAGCTCTGGGAATACAGCCTAAAATATCTACCTTCAATTTTATTTAATTGAATCTTATTGGCATCATCATATCTTACCAACAAAATTACATTCATTAAAATTTATGGTTTCTATTTTCTTTTCTAGTTCACTTTATAAAAAATATAGTTGTAAATAAAGAGAATAAACAAACTACCTTTTCCAAAACACCAAACTTGCCATCTCCAACAAGATGGACATCGTAAGTGAAGTTTAGTTTGGTACCAAGCTTGAATAGCAAATCTATACAGTATCCCTTGCAACATTTATGAGTCTTCACACCTGAAAATGGCAAATCATTCCATGTCAGCGGAACAATGATCTGTGAAGATCTAAAAGAAAATTTAAATTGCTAGCAGACGCGAGCTTAATGATCAATAACAGAAACAAAAACTAGTACACATGATGAGTGATTTTCAGTTCTGACAGCAGCATTTTTCCGTATTTTTTTCTCATGTTTTACTATCATTCTATTTTGCTTATATTAAGATAATTAATAAAATAAGAAGGACTTCTGTTTCTTTATTCAGTTATTACCAGCAATGTAACTTCCACACAGGGATCAAAATTGAAAATAAGAGAGAGGAATAATGACAGACTGATAATACATTTCAAGATTACCAGTTGTAACATTAATATGTGGACAGTAGATTTCTCTTATTCCATCTTCCAGGCTTGGCATGGTCTTGCACTGTTCTCCTGGTTGGATGACCCGTGAGAATACAAAAGGGACCTCTTCAATGGTCACCACCTAAAACCAGTCATACAAATATGAACATAAGATCACCATCAATGAAGTTGGCAAAGGACTTCAATATGTTCCAGTTTCACTGTATTTGGGGATTACATGTCACATTTTATAAGAAAACTTTTCATACTGAATATGAAGCATAAAATGTCAGGGTAACTTTCTTAAGAATGGGGTTTAACAAATGATGAGAAGTTTAACCTTTTTTGGAGGGTTTTATGACCAACAATTTTATTAGTACATAAGTTTTTGGTTGATGTGAGTTTTAAAAAAGTTACCATTGCCTCATTTCTTACCTTCAAATGTGTCTCAATATTCTCTCCCAGAGGTGTGGTCATTTGTCCACCTGGCCAGAGAATTGGACCTCTAACATTCAGCTTTTTGGTCTGCATCTTCAAAGTAGGAAAATGTGTTAGTTTGAGCTAAATAAATTACAATGATCAAATGTGTTTACAAATCTATATTTTCACTAAAATGTTCCATATCAAAAAAGTAAATAGACCAGAGAAATACCATAACACATCAATACACTTAATTACAAGGATTCTGTGTTCACTCCAGGATAAAATATATTATAACCAAATAAATGGGTTATTTAAGCCATGTCATTTTTTTAAATTGAATCACAGCAATTTAAACAATAAGTAGTCAAATGTTTCAACTTTTTTAGCTAAATTAGAATATGGCAGGATACATATAGGCAAGACCTTTGTCCATAATGCAGTACCTTGCCTTCATAAGTGCCCACTGTGACTAGCTTGCCTTCTTGTACATTGACCAAGTCATACACAGGACTGTCACGATCTCCAACCTCATCAAATTTTACCTTTCCTGTCTTCCCATCAGCAAACTCAACTTCCTTTAGGGCACTAAAAATAGCTTTGCTTTTTAAATGACATCACCATGGTTTTCAGACAACTGCAAATGCATTGTTTTTTCAATATTTTTTTACTTACAAAACTGTACATAAAAAGTTAAATGTTAAGGAACTGTTTATGGAAGCATTTTATAAAAGTGTATAAGGAACTAGACTTCTTACATCTCTTGAAAGTCAAATTTCATTTTGAAAATTATTTTGATTAAAAATATGACTTGCAAAACATTTGCCAAGACTGGTCAACTGTGTAAATAAATCTAAATATTCTGCCCCAAGAGAAAACAAAAACATTTTCTTACTTAAACATGACTTGGCCACTATCCCAAGATCCTACTTCATCTTCAGTATGGCTTATACACCGATTAGGGGCCTCAGTGAGGTTCACTTTATTGTACATAGTATTGATGGCCTTCACCACAACATGCATAGCATCCTTGATGTGAAGAGACTCATTCATGCCAAAACGCAACTGGAAACCTAAAATACCTGAATAAATGAGAAGAAATAATAATTATATCTATAATTTATTGGCATTAGGCCATAACTGACATTTTGGCAAACTCAACTCACCCCATGACCTACCTCAGTTCTAGAGATTATAAGACAAAAACATGTTGGATCACATAGCATAACAGTTTTTCTCATTTATTTAGGGGCAATACATCCAATTTATTCACCATCATTACAACAAACAAAATTATTTTACTATTATTATTTTTTATTAGCTATTATTTTTATTATTTTTTGGTAAGACTGTATCATGAGCACGAGCTGTCACAACCAAGATTGAAATACATTTTTTTAGTAGTAAAATTAAAACAAAAATGCCAAAGTACTCAAATGTCAGCAGATAATTAACAAAAATTCACAAAAATGTTTTTATTAATATTTAGAATAATGAGCATATGCCAAAGACCAAAAATGTGGGGTGGGGTGGGGGTCTAATTTGTAGTAACTTAAATAAACTGACAGTTTCAGTGAATCCTTTAAATGCAATACTTTAATGAGTATATTTTACAGTCTAAATGAATTTAAAACATTCCTTGTATGATTCTGATATATTACAAGGCGCAAACAAAATTGACAAGAAGACAGAATCTTTCACATTGCTTCTGTACCTTGGGGTATATTCTGGACAGTCAAAGCCTGTTCTGTGACAATCCACACAAATCCTGGGCCAGTCAGATTCAAGTGTACAGCATCCCTGTACACCACCTCAGCAACACTTTGGCTAAAATTAACAAAGTACTATATAACAACAGTGCCACTCCAGCAGGGCTCAGTGTACTTAATGGCATTACTTGGCCTTTTTGATTTAGAGTGGGGTAAGTAGATTTTCAGACCTACTTGACCCACAGGGCAAGTGCCTGAAATGAATTTATATCAAGCCTTGATCCAGTACTTAGTACAGATCATACATTCACACTTCTTCCATGACTTTTTATGTTGCCAGAATCTCATCAACTGAAAGAGCAATGCTAACCGTGAAATCCTGTTCCAAGTATTTTTCATTAAAACATAGCTAAGTATTCATTACTTACGAAACAAACATCAACACCACTCTGGCTCTTGCCTTTTCCAGCTCTAATAAATCGTCTGAATAGCTTCTTAGTCCAGGTTTTAACAAAATAGTCTTTTCAAGCTGGAAAAAAGGGTGTTAAGTAAATAAATCTAGATCTATCTACAGTAATAGCTTTGCATTACAATAGTTCAAACTTACCAACATATAAGTTAAGGCATAACGTTTAACTTAAATGACACGATAACCAACCTCTATTGTACTTTTGGCCTGGTTCTGAAATCTGCTGAGAATGTTCCTGCCTTCCTGAGTGAGCTCAGTGATGAAAACAGTTTTCTTCCACTTATAGAACTTAAGTAGTTCTAGCCACAGGTCGGCCTGGTGGGAGATTGAGGTCACCGTCCTCAGGAAAGTGGCATGGACGCTCTGGAATAAAAGGTCTAACTGAAAACTAAGGGACCATTCCCACAGATATTTGGATCGATCTATCTCCCAGGGGAGTCTCACTAAATTGCTATCAACTTAACCAGCTTAAATGTCTGTCACACCTAGTAAAACTGTTAGGGGGTAATTAACTTTACCCCCTAGCTGATTCAGTATATATGACAGACAATGAAGCATGGGAACCCAGTCTAAGAAAGAAAAATGTCTACATGGTTTTGTATTATTGTTTAATGCACAGAAAATATGACTTCATGCAATGTCAATTGCTATTCATACACAGATACATATCACAAATAATGAAAGTCAAAATAGAATTGTACTTCTTTGGTGCCTTTTAATCTATCAGATCAACCTTATATTATGCCTGGGGCCGGTTTCACAAAGCAGTAGTTAGTTAGCGATCGGTAGTTAGCCTCTCGCTAGTTATAGTGCTGTTTCACGAAGCAGTCGCTAGTTCTCTCGCTCGTTATTGTCTCGTTGTTGCCTTGGATATTTAACGACTGGTCAGACCAGTCGCTAACTCTAGAGTTTCATCGTACGCATGCGTAATGAGTGAAATAAAAAGGTTGCTTAGTTACCGTTGTCTGTCGTTTGTCTTTGTATCCAATATGGCGGCTACTTTTCTTGCTATCCGTACCGCCAGACGGCAACGTAGACTACGACGTTTTCATGAAAGGCAGAATCTATTCGAATATACACACGATGATGCAATTTACGAGAGGTTGCGCCTAGCTGTGACAAAAAGAGCGGCAAAAAGGTGGTGGAGATCCTTTACGACGACCTCAAAGCAGACGTTCTTATGCATTTCCAGCCACCAAAAATTGGAGAGTTTGTGCTTTCGTGACACTTTTACGCAAGAGTTCCACTTCCGGCAGACGGTTTCGAGACTACGGTGAGTAACGAGAGAACTAACGACCGAACTTTACGACTGAACTTAGCGATGAGTTAACTACTGCTTCGTGAAACACCCCTCGAAAATCGCTAAGTTTGCTCGTTAGCGAGGTAGTTCAGTAGTTAGTTGTTCTAACTAACTACTGCTTTGTGAAACCGGCCCCTGGTTATTAAATCAGTTGTATAAATACAAAGTTAATTGAGATTTAAAACCAGCAACATAACTCCTTTTACTTCCTCACTTATAAAAGCCTAATCTAAATCAAAATGATATTAAAACTGTAAATAAATATGAGATCAATCTGCATGTATACCTTTTCTGAGAAAATACTATCTCTCAAGTTTCCTCCAACTCCAATGACAGGGATGTTATAGAATTTACAAGTGTATGAGACAGACAGCGGGGACTTGGCATTAGGGTGTGGATGGCTGACCAACACCACATACACCTGCTGATATATCATCTTAAGACAAATATCTCGTGCAGCTCTGATTGGGTTTTCATCCATCAGCATGGCTGCTCCTTTTACTGTGATATTGCCTGGGAGAACCCCAGGTTGGTTGGCTTCTTCTATACATTGGTGAAACAAATCCATGGATTCTTGGGTACCCAGCACCCCTCCTATGATGATTTGGTTTGGGAACTGCAGTGTTTGACCCATGCATGATGCTGTAAGAAGCAGTGGAAGACATATGCTGAGGAAGACGTGTTGGTTTTGCACCATGGCTGCCAGAAAATGCCTGCAGAAAATAGGAACACAAATAATGATAAATATCTTCAAATTCATCAAAATTTAGTCACATTTAATAGAAATGGAAAAGTATATAAAAATACTAAGAAATAAACAAAGTATGTAAAACTGTTTACTAATGGGCACTGCAGAGAGCATGAAGGGCAATAAATGAATGTTCATTAGCCTCGTTAAGAAAATTCCTGATTAATCCAGACCTTTTTCATCAGCCTTCACAACAGTGAACAACAAAAAGTCTTATACAAAAATTATCTTCCATAGCATTATTTGGCAAAAAATAGAAAGTTTAAATCTATACTTCTTTCAAAATTGAGATGAAAGAAAGCATGCGTGACATTTCATTTAGAAGCTTTAGTGTTCCTAAAAATCATTGGGTATAACGCTAAGTTACACATATAAGTTCCTCATTCATTTCTATAAAACTGTCCGTCGTGTTATGCCGAGCGGCCTACAGCACTGTATCTATCAAGCTCCAGAACTCTGCAGTACCAGAGACGATTTCCGTCATCAGTCTATTGAAAATGACGTCACATGCAAAATGCCTATATTAGACGTCAAACTAGCTATTCGAATATTATAGATAATTCGGATATTATAAACCTGCATTTTAATTTATTAACACTAATAAACAACGCACTGATTGCATTAATGGTGAACATCGTCAATCGAGGGCATATTTCTGACATCTGGTAATCCAGTTCACGGGGGCTATCACAGTTTACCATACTTCTCAAACGTGTCCGTCACCTTAGTAAGCAAAATGTAACAACAAAGTACATATCACTAACATCTATCATTACCTACTTATTACCTATCATTACCTACTTTGCTTTCTAATTATATCCTTGTTCTGCTCAGGCACTCCGATTCATTTTCAACAGTATCTGTTTTCTAAGCACTTAAAGTAATTCGTGAATTTGATTGGCCCTGTCTGTTCTATATTTATTGATTGTTTCTTGAAATAAAATACAATCCACTGTACAACAAGACAAAAATACCTTATCAATTTTCTTAAAATGGATTAACGATAATAGCATGGTAATCGATAGATCAAGAATGTGTATTTTTTTCTATGTCATCCATTTACTGCGGGATTGATAATTAAAAGACAACACACGTGCGGCCGACCAGATGCAGTGTTTTAAACTGTTTAGAACTCAGTTTAGGATATTGTGAAAAGGTACAGGTCTTTTTCTGTGTGCTAGAATGTGTTTAAAGCTAATATTGGCTTATAGTTCCCTTGGTTCATAAATGAACGAAAGTGTGACAGGTAATCACAACTTCGGTTCTAAACATACTATTTCAACATTAGTACAACATACAATCTAGGTAGTGGTCATAGACACCAGTGGTTGCGCATTGAGGACAGGGACTGAAAAAGAGATTGAGTAAGCTCGTTGACAAAATCTGTTTATCCCTATAAATGCTAACAACTAATGTTCATATACTCGGATAGATTTTAAATTTATGGTACTTTTGTAGTATACCCCCCCACCCTGTAACTTCCTGAAACTTTCATTTTTCAAACATTTTTTTACATTGTCTTTTTCACCTATGTCAAAACTGTTGGAATAAAATGTTTTTGTAATTACCTGTGGTCTTTTTATTAGTTTTAATCACGTTTAATCCACCCCATTGAAATACAATGTGAAAATTTACAATGTACCCGCAGTCAAATAACTTGCCGCGTTTTCGTTGGCTAACTCTACCTTATTTTATGTGAACATAGGATTGATACATTGTATACTTGGACTTTCTCCGTGAAATTATTATGAGCTACTTGTTCACATAAAATTACCTTTGAGTTAGCCAACGAAAACGCGGCAAGTTATTGACTGCGGGTGTAAATTGAAGATTCTAACTTTGTATTTCAATGGGCTGGATTAAACGTGATTAAAACAAATAAAAAGTCCACAGGTAATTACAAGAGCATTTTATTTCAACAGCTTTGACATACATGAACAAGAAAATGTAAAAAACTGTTTGAAAAGTGAAAGTTACAGAAAGTTACAGGGTGGGGGGGTATACTACAAAAGTACCAAATTTATTTAGATTGTGAAGTGACCATATATAATAGACGCATATGAGTTTTTAAATAACTCGGCCTTTACTTGAAATGTTTATTAAGAGATATTTTTGTCTGGTTATAGAAAAAATGAAAGGGTTTGTTCCTTGCTTGACTTGGGTAAAGAAAGGAGTGGCCAAAGCTACACCTGATAAGGTAAATACTTATACCTTATTTTAACTTCTTAAAGATCTAATTTTGAGTTGATAAGGAAATGTAAACTTGTTATTTTAGTAATGTTGAAATTCATGAATCTTAATTGCTGGGTACTGCAGTTAAGATAGTTCAACTTGCTGTATTGGAATTTTGCATTGTTTTCAGGTGCAAGTAACTAAAGAGGAACTTGAGAAGATTATAAAAGATACAAAGCAGGGCATTGCGTAAGTTGCTCACACTTATTGGAATAATAATTTAATTTATTGGTTTCATCGGGAAATTATGTAAAATACTCCTCTTCACTTGTTGGTGCACTAATGCTGTGTTTTTCTCTCTGAAAGAAATGCAGAGTTAGGAGATGAAGAAGAAGATGATGGAGACCAAGTACACGATATGGAAGGAGATGCTGATTTAATAGCCACAGGAGGAAAGAAGAAGATAAAGAAAAAGAAAAGAAAGGAGGAACCTGAAAAGGATGATGTTGAGGAGGAAGATGTTGATGACATAATTGCTGAATATGGCCTGGAAAATTATGATGAAGATGAGGAAGGTATTGCATTATATTAGTTACATTTTCTGTAGGCTAGCAATAAAAAAAAAGATAAAGCAGATGCTTTTCCTCAAGGCTGTGACCATTAAAATAATGACTACTTTATGAAAGGTTTGTTATAAATTGACATTAAGTAGTCTGTTTTGAAAACAAAATTTTATTTTTGTGAATTTTAGTCTCTTCTCCTTGGGATGGAATTGCTGGTCTGACATATTATGCAAGCAATGATGATGATCCATATATTACATTGAAGGATGAGGTATAAAAGATTTTTTGCTTCTCTTTTGCATATTATCAAGTTTCAAACCAATATCCTCTGTTACTATGTCAGGTGACTTTTTATTTTTCAAGTATTGGCTTGATTTATAAAACCTTGAATTTTTTTCACAATATCCTTTTTTGTTTTACTCACCTGAACACTTTTAGCCAAATAATGATGTACATGATTTTTTAGCAGGATGACAGTGATAATGAAGATTTTACGATAAAACCTACTGATAATTTATTGGCGGTAGCCAGAGTTCAACAAGATTGCACTCTGTTAGAAATACATGGTGAGTGCTTATTCTTTTTTATATTTACTTTTCTATAAGTGAAACAAGGTTTATCATTTATATATCTAACAGTAGATACATGCTTAAGATTAGTAACATGTTGAGCTTGATTTAAGAGTTCATTGTTTAAGTTAAATGAACTACTTGTTGTCCATCAAGGAATCATAGAATAATTATTCTTTGTTTCAGTGTACAATGAGGAGGAGGCAAACTTTTACTGCCACCATGACATTATACTCCCATCTTTTCCCCTGGCATTAGAGTGGTTGAATTATGACCCAGGGGAACAGCAGACAGGTTTGTGAGATCTTTTGTCATATACCCGTCAGTTTTTATGTATTTTCAATATTTAGGGAAATGGAGAAAATAAACAATTTGAGGCAGAATGCTCTGTTCTTGCAAATATATACTAGATGGTGATTACAAGGTGAATTGCACATTCACAGATCTAGGATAGAAGGCAAGGAGGCTGGTGGGGGAGATCAGTGGGTCATTGGGAGATTTTCACATATCTAACCATTGTCATGTTTTAACTCTCATATTGAAAAGAGGTGTAAAGGGATTTATCCATCGTATTCGTTCGGAATAGGAAGAAGAGGGCTTGGATCCACATTTGACCTGTGTTTATACAGATATTTTAAATGTGTACCGCGTTTGTCTTTTCAGGAAATATGCTGGCAGTGAGTAGTATGGAACCAACTATAGATCTCTGGGATCTTGATGTTATAGATTGCTTAGAACCAACATTCACGTTGGGAACTAAAGTGAAGAAATCCAAAAAGGTGAATTTACATTTCAGTTATATTCATGAAATAAAAATTGGAAAGATAATAACATGCTGGTTGCCAAGTTATATGCCTGTTATGTGATAGTGGTAACATTTTATAGGGTTCTCAATATGTTTTGGGTTTGCTGTAACCTCAAGTTCACTAACAAATAAAAATCAGGTCATTTCATAAAGTAAGTCGTTTTCGGTTGAAGTTTGTCAGTGATCCCAAAAATTGCATTAAAAATTCATTAGTACTTAGATATATGTAAATTAATAATGGTCATTTATTTAATCCATAATTTTCAGAAAAAGAACAGTGCTACTGCTGCTGGTCACACAGATGCTGTTTTGGACCTTTCTTGGAATAAGGAAGCACGGTCAGTCATAGTCAGAGAATGCAGAATATTGTTCTATCTTTTAGCCTTAAGATTTGAAATTGGACAGTTACAAGAGGTTAGTTTAAAGTTTCTCCCTTTATGATAATGCAATTATTTTATTTGTGTAAGGTGTATGAAAATTAACAGATATTTTTTTACTCAAATTAGCAATGTTCTGGCAAGTGGATCTGCAGATTTTACCATAGGGCTTTGGGATCTGTCACAGGGAACTATGGTAACCTCTATAAGACAGCACAAAGAGAAGGTAAGAATACATTCATGTGGGTCTTTCTTTACTAATTAGCAGGTTTTAAGTGCATAAGTGAGCATCAAGCTTGTTCAGTTAATACTGTTTGTTTTTGCATGGAATTTTCCTTCTATAGTCTTTTTATTTTGGTTGTTTTTCATGCTGAAATAGTTTGAAATGAATATAAGAAATACATTTTCTTTGAATTCAGAAAAAGCAAAAATATGTATCAAAATTCAGCCGTTTTTATGATAAGTCATAATTGTATCATGTTTTAAACATAGTGACTTGCATCTTGTGGAAAAACTTCAACATTTGTAATCATGCATGGAAGTTCATAATTCCAAGATGTTATTACTTTCATTCTACTTAACAAATATTTCTTTATAAGGTAAGATGTTTAATAAGTAAAGATGAAGAAAACATTACACTAGGCATAGAGGAAAATTTCAAAAATGTGGTCATATTCTCTCAAGGGCAGATGCAGAGATATTTTCTGACAGTCTTCCAAATTATCTTTGTTGATCCATCCTCCATTTTTGACTGTCTTCCCACAGATAAAACTAGATACCGGTCAATGTAAACTTGAATATCTGACCATCTTCCAGAAGACCCAGAAGATGGCCTCAATCCACCCATCTGTTACAAAGTATTACATGCAATTTTATTTGCCTCCTGTGCTGCAAACTTCTAGATATTGCATGTTTTTTCTCAAGTTGTGTCTTGGAGATATTAACAGCATTTATTATCATTCAAATAATGTCACAAAGATCTTACATAATTTCTTTTCTTTTCAGGTGCAAACTTTAGAATGGCATCCATTTGAAGCACAGTCTTTGTTGAGTGGATCTTTTGATCAGTATGTATCATGTAAAAATAGATATATGATATGTATTTTACAAAGGCGATTTTTCTTCAGATTGAACATTATTTTGATGCAAATGAAGTATTGGTGCACTTCTTTTCATTTTTGTCTTATTTTTAGGACTGTGAAAGTGTATGACTGCAGATGTCCCAATGATACTCACAAGACATGGCAGTTAAAAGGCGAGATAGAACGTGTGACCTGGAATCATTTCTCCCCCTTTCATTATTTGGTACATGATTGGTTTTTATTACCCCAAACTTTTTATAACATTTTACAAAACATATATTTGTTAATGTCACCTTCCTCTAAATGAATGGAAATAGGCTTTTAGAGAGAAAAAATGAAGAATGCATCTTACCAGTTTAAACCAAAATGATTGCTTTGTTCTAATATTTAAAACCATATCTTAAACTGTTTAAATGATAATAAAAGGGTTAATATTTTTAAATTTAATATTTTTAAATTAAAATCTCCAACTATATGGGCAGATGGCATATTTCATGGGCAATATTCCATACACTTAAATCACCACTTATAAAATGTGTCTCTTGGCCCAAGAAGTGTTTTTAGTGCTGTTTTTAGTGCTAGGTCACACGCAAGGTGTAACATGTTTATGCCATGGTTACCATAGCAGTTTCAAATGAATTGAAAACAATAAGCGAGTTTTACTTGATATTTTTCCTTCTTTTTAACAGGCTAGTACTGACCAGGGTTTTGTGTATTATGTAGATGCCAGAATGGACAAACCAGTCTTCACACTTAGTGCACATGACAAGGCAGTTACAGGTAGGTGACTGTATCAGATATTAAAGGTGTATGTGTTTATGGATTTTTCGGGTTAATTTCTTGTGCAAAATGGCAAAAGATTTTTTTTTGCTGTTTTCCTTAGTCCATGTTGCTTCATTTTAGTCATTGTGTTGTCATAGGACCAGAATTGTAGGGTGTTAATAATTATATTCTTATAAAATGGGAAGATGGAAGGTGTTAGGAATAATGAAATTGTCAATATTGTGATGTCAGTTAGTCATTAAAAAATACTTCACCAGTTTTACTAATACTTCACGTCTGTTTATTCATTAAAATGTGAAAAAATCACTGTATGTGTTACTCCTAGTGTCATTTTATGGCATGTTTTCACTTAATTGTTGCATATATTTATGACCATTTTCTGATAAATTTTTAATATGCGATGGTTATGATACTTTAAGCTATATGTAAGAACTCTAAATCCTGCAAAAAAAAAAAAAATTAAAGATAAAGAAGAAGATTGATATAAGGAATAACAAGTGACATAACATTTTTTTGAAAACATGACTTGTTTCCCTTAATGTCATTTGAAAAAGATTGATTCCTTCAAATACATTTTCCATTTCTGATCAAGATATCATCCAGGGCAATATCTCCCAGTCCTGTGAACCCTCGGATCCCTTCAAATGTCACCTGGACTTTGTCCACTGCCACCAGTCTCACCTGGGCTTTGTGCCAAATGTTGCCTTGGTTACCTGAAATACGCAAATGGGATTAAATTTGGGGCTGCTGAAAGCATGTTCTCCATTTTAAAAATGTGTGAAGTTATGTGAGTTTATGGTAGAAAAGTTAAGAAAAAGAAACAGAATGACAAGTTAAACATTGTTTTTTATGTATCCTGCTTTTTTAAAGAAATAAATAAGTGGCAAGTGGAATAATTTCTTACTACAGTGATTTGCTTTTCTTCTTAAACTATGATAGTCAATTCTCATTTTAAGCCAATTCAAATTTCCTTTATGTTTGAGTAATGAAAGAATCTGCTATGATTTTTGGTTTTCAAGATACATAATATCATAAAATTTTAGTTGCCTGCATATTTGCAGGATTGTCTGATGCCAGTATGACTTTTGTGTGCCTGGTTAATTGACACAATTAGACATTTTACCAAAATTTTGATATAATTTGACTTTGATATACCTGTTCTTGTCCAGACGGGAGTCTTTCTCATTCTTCCGTCTTTCCCTGTGTTGACATATACACTGAGAGACCCAGTTGAATAGCCAAACATGTGGTAGTAAAACTGGACACAGTAGCCATCTTTACTCATGGCCATAGGAGGGGTTGTAAGGCGGGCTTTATCCCCAGGCTTCAGTGGGGGAGATGTCTCAATGTACATGTAATAGCCTTGGAAAAAGATTTGCATTTTGATAGGAAAATTTTATAATTTTTACATTGTTACTGATGACTACATCTCTTTGTTTTAAAGGTCCGCTCCATAGAATTTTCCTGCGAAAATTAATTTTCCTGGGGCATAGAACAATTCCCCCTACTCATGAATTATTGCTTGACCCATCCCTGCACTTGGATTCAATGTTTTATTCCATTTTTAATTTGATACTTTAGTTTTTTATGAGTGGTCAGTCAAAGTAACAGCATCTTTTGTCACGCGCATTGCCTTGTTTTCACACAAGAAAGTTCATTTTGGTGGGAAAATTCCATGGAGTGGCCCTTTCACCATGATGAGAGTTTATTATTATTTGGAAAGAAATATGAAAATATTGAGAAAGTATGTAAATATGGTCTAAGAATTTAAGTTTTTCTTTTAGTTGACTTTTTGCTAAGAAAAAATATTCAAGGCAACTGATTGCCCAAATTTGGGAAAATGAAATCTGGTTTACAGCGTATGAGGTTTTAGCACCTAATGTCTAGCTCTTAGATACCAGGGAACCCTACATACCCATTCCTCTAGTTGTGTGGTCATGTGATGGCCCTGTCATTCTTGTAGTTGTTTCTTTGCTGTGCCTTGTCCACTCAAAGTCATCATCTGTATCCTGAGCACAGCCACATAGGTCTTTTTCAAATGTGCACTCGAAGACCACAGATCCTGGATCTGCTACTGGAAGGGCATACTGTTCATCTATAAACAAAACTTACTTGTTAGAATGAAGGATTTGAAGAATCTCTGTACAAAATAAATAACAAATATCTGTCTAAAGTGTCCGTTTTCATCTGAGATTTATCATGGTAATATAAAGTGCCATTCCAAAACATTCAAAAGTCATAAATGCTAAATTTTCTGTTTGTTTCTTAATGCTTTTTAAATGGCATTTCACATTTACCATCATGAAATTTGAATAAAAAAATGTTTCTTAACAAGTTTTCATGTATTCTAATTCCCTTGTCTGTGAAAATCTGCAAAATTCATCTTAAAATCTCATCGCTTTCATAAAATACATTATTGTAAATGTTGTTGTAACAGGTTAATTTTCAAAAAAAAAAAAAGAAAGGGACTAAAGTTATTGGAAATGTCCGTGTTTCTTTGATTAATTTATGTGTATGTCACTTACCCAGGTAAATAGTCTGATGGAACTCAGTGAGAGGAGCAACGTCAACTTGTGGTCTGTACTGAAAAGTCATATGTGACTGCATGGTGTCCACCTTGGTCTCTAGGCTCTTGAAGTCACGCAAGGCATCAAACATCTGCATCTTCATATTTTCCAGGTTCATCTTATACTCAGATCTCTCTAGAATCATCTGGTTAAGGACTTCATTCTGCTTGTTCATTTGTTTGGTCAGGTATTCAAGGCGCATTGTTAATTGCTCAGTTTGTTTTTCATGATTTTTTACCTCATTCACCTCGAGAGTAGCCACAAGAATTCCCCCATTTTTTTCTACCGGGGTTGATTCTAGTTGATTTGCACTGTCTCCTTGGTCTTTGTTCAATTTATCATCATCTTGCAGATCTTGCTCATCTTGTATATTTTTCTCATTGACTTGTTTGATTAAGACACTCATTTCAGACATAAAAGCTTCTTGTGCCTTAATGAGTTTAGTAAGGAGGACATTGTGACGATGCATCTGCTTCCTGTGATCTGGACACAGTTTGTTGTAATCTGGAATCTTCAGATCCAGTTGACATTGCTGTTTGGTCGAGTTGTCACCTCTGGGCTTTGTTGTGTTCAGTCTAGCTGTGTGCCTACTTTGGAACAGTTGTACCAATAGAAACAGGCAGGTGAAAGTGTTCAGGTGCATCTTGGTAAAGTCCTTGAGAGATGAAAATAATATAAATAATATATTTATCATTTTGCATGAGCAACTGACGAAAGATTAATTCTTTGCCGATTTTTTAGGGGTAACATTTAATAAACTTACACTGTTTCACATTGAAAAAGTATTTTTTTCAATATATTGCAGACAGCAAGAAAGAAGAATAAAAGCAATGATAATTTAAGGAAAGAAATTTAATAATTAAAACCATTGAAAGTATCCATATAATTTAATTAATTTAATGATCAGTGCTAAAGATAAGTATTTTAATTATTCATCCTAATAGTGGTTATAATTTTAATTGCAAAAAGTGATCCTACAGTCTACCTACCATGCACAAAAAGCTGGGTGGTTCCAGACTGCTGCGTAACAGAAGTGTGGTGGAAAAACAACTGCAGCGGAGCACTTCATTCAGATTTGTTGCTTGTTTTCATTGTCCCTGACCCCTGATAGAAAGAGGGCCAGGAGCTCCCCAACACATCTGCCAAATTCAGGTTCATAGCCATATTTCCAGAAGATTACAACCCAGTGCCTGATCTTTCTTTGTTGAAGTTTTTTTTCCCTCTATATAAACAATGGAGTTTTAGCCTCTCTGTGATCCATGTCTGGAACAAGCACTGGTATAAAATTGCCTTGAACTTGAAATGGAAGAATGATTTTGCTCTCTTATGACCCACTACCCAGATATGGATTAACCAATTAACCCACTTACCCATATTTGGTTGGAGGCACATATTAGAAGGTGTGATGTTGGAAGGGTATGCCTTATTATAACAGATCTTGTTAAATAAAATATTTATTCACAGCTGGGAGGAATTCTTTTGTTAGGATGGATTGTTGATCTTATGCATCTTAATTGAGTTTATACAATGACAACCACAAGAGAAGATTTTTTTACTTATTTTTGTTTTTTGTCATTTAGGCCCCTATTATTCAAGCAAATTTGCCTTATTGAAATAGTTCTGAAACAGATGAAAAAATTAGTTTTCAGTTGAGCTTTACTTATAATCATTCATATGCTTAGGAAAAAAATTAAAATTTGGGTGTATTTCAAGCAATTTCTTACCTTAAATTGTCAACTTCTGCATGACCCTTGTATATTTGTATTCTATCCTATTTTCTTTTTGACATGTATAATTTGTGGTATACTAAAAACTTGTTTATACTAATCCCTTTCTTTTAGGTCTTTGAAATTTCATCTTTTTTTTTCAGTAGCAAATAAATATGCAATCTTACAGTTTTTGACTTATGAATCGCACACAAACACACACACACACACACACACACACACACATTTACATACTTGGACTCTCTTTCTCCCTCAGTAAAAAAAATATGCAGTCTTACAGTTTTTGACTTATGAATCACACGCAAACACACACACACACACACATTTACATACTTGGACTCTCTTTCTCCCTCAGTAAAAAAATATCTTTTTTAGTTCTCATTGTAATTCATGCTAACTGTTACATTAAACAATCATTGTAGCTCTTTGATATTTCATAGCAAATGTGGTCAACTAACTACAACTGCCAGGTTTGTTTAACTAATTAATGTATGGAAGATTGATTTATTGTTGTATATCATTATCATTCACAATTTGATCCTTCATCAACATTTAAAGGGATGAACAACTCTTTGTATGAAATTTTTCACAATAAATACATTGTAAGCAACTCATAGAATGAATTCTATTATACCACCAAAACCTCCATAGGTGGTTACTTTCTGTACTAATCTCTGAAGAAATTATTACAAAAAAAACTTTTTAGAAAAAAAAGGACTTTGAATGTTGGAATGCATTCATTAACCTTTGGAGCATGGGAAAATTGTCATTTACTTCAGAAAGATCCATTTTTGGCCAAAATGAGCAGATGTTTTCCCTTTGAATGTGTGTGTGTGTGTGTGCAGATGCAGGTGCATGTGTGTGTGAGTGTTGATGCGCTGTTGAAAATGTGTGTGCGTGTTTTCCAGAATGAAAGCCTATATTGATGCATGCTTTGCATTCCTTCAATTGATAATTTTTGTCTTCATTTTAGGTCTACGTCTGAGTAGTCAGGTGCCTGGGCTGCTGGTAACGTCTTCTGCTGACAAAGCCTTCAAAGTCTGGGACATTGAAAATAACAAGCCAGAATGTATACTTGACAAACAGTTAGGAATGGTTAGTAGTGTTATTTGTTCATGATCAAGTAATTTTAACAGCTTGTTTGTACATTAAAGTAAGAGTACTTCCATACCAATAGTTTGTTTCTGGTAAGCCAGGTCAGATGTTTTTTTTTCTTTTTTCTTTTAGAAGAACAACTGGAATTGTGATAGAAAAATGCTGTAAACGTGATTATCAAAACAAGATCCATATCAATGTTTAACTAATATTTGAGATGATGCAAAGTTGAAAGTGTTGTATAAAAAAAGTGTCTTATGCACTGAAATAATTTAACCACACCATTTTTTATACCAGGGTGAACTCCAGTGTGTAGCAGACAATCCAGATGCTGCCTTTGTATTTGCTATAGGAGGGGAGAGTGCCTTAAAGGTTTGGGATATACGGGAAAGTGCTGCAGGTGAGGTTATGTGAATTGCATAAGGAGAGACATACAGGTCTGCATTAATGATATTTAGCTGCTGCTTTGGCTTTTGCAAATTACATGGGGAGAAGTCATTATAGCCTGATAGAACCAGAATGGCTACTGCTTTCAAATCTTCTTAATCAATTTGTTAAAAGACACAACACATAAAATTTTGGAGTTTTGCTATGTGATAAGGATTTAAGAGGTCAAGATGACACATCTGTGGTTGAAAATTGCAAAAGCTATGTGCTTTCCTCAAGGTGATTCTTGGGCAAACTTTTGCAACCAATTTGCTGTATTGAGTCTGTTGTCATATACTTTAACTGATTTGTGTTATTTGAGAAAGTCTGCTCATGATTTCTTCATCAAATAAGCAGATATGCAAGCAGTTCTGATGCTATGACCTTATGTTATTTATGATATATATTTTTTAATGCACCCTAGATTGGAAGAAAAATAAACGATATTATTAACAACAACAACAAAAGAGAAAAAATATGTAGTAGATACGATACTTAAATGTTGATAGATATTAGTCTCGTTGACTGCACTATTTTCAAGCTGTAGCAAATGCATACCAGCATTGTCATAAATAATGAAGTGTATTTCCAGTTTGTTTTGGTTGTCTAAGCAATGCAAACATACTGTTAAATTTACATAATATGTAGACCCAATTGCTGGATTGAGAGGATAAGTATTCTATATATTAACTTTAAATGCCGCTTCCATTGTAACATGGAAAAGGAATTTTAAAACAAATTGATGATATTTTATTTATTTTATATATAATCATCACAGTAAACAAATGTTGTGGTAATTGCAGTTATTAGGTATGTCAAGATAAATATTGTTTTCCTGTTTTTTAAGTGAGGAAGCATTTTGAAGGCAGAAATGGTTCAAATTTGGTGAATGGAGCAGAAGTCCCAATGGATGTGGATGCAGTATCAATGGGAAGTCTGTCTTTACAGCCTAAGGACTCACAGCCACAGAGTAAAGACTTGGATAAATGTCAAACAGAAGAAAAGAAAAAGAAGAAGAAAAAGAAGAAAAAGAAGCCCATGGGTACACAATGATTTTATACAGTATGCATGGATTGTAAACTGTGAATATATTTTGTGTGCATAGGCAAGGGCATGTTCAAGTTAAGACTGTACAATTTTGTTTAGAAGTTATCAAAACAAACATTTGCAGCTATCAAGGAGAAGAAAATAAGTTTGTTATTATGTAAAAAATATATGTATGATAACTATGTAAATAGTTATGGATAACAGAAATAAAATGTTCTTTATTCAACAAAACAAATTTATGAACAATATTGTGGTATCTCTTACTCTTAAATGCTATTTACAATTAAATTTCTTAGAGGAATACCAAATCTATTTGAGTAGTCTTATAAATAAAGAGGCATTTGCTGTAAGCTTTCATAATTGGTTGAAATCGGGTATAATTTTACTGTCAAATACATTATTTAAATCTGCAACCTCTTTAAGACTTAGTCTTAACATCTAATTCTGTTTTTGTGTCTTTTTTTCTTCTTGGCATGACACAGTAGACGAAGGCATATCATCACACACTGCGCACTGCTTAGTTATTCACGCCAGTGAAATTTTATGCGGGGCTCCTTTTTCCGAAACATTATTTTCAAGACTTGGATTTGCTCCAATAAACGTTACCTTTCGTGTAAGACCTAGAACTAAAAGTAGCAGCTACATGTAAACTACCAGTTTGGGACAGGTCCCTTATTATATAGTGTGGCTAGGTTGCCATATGTCATTGTGACAAGGGTAGGTGTTGTCATGTAAAATGAAATCTTAAAAAAAAACTGCCATCTCCTAAAAAGGTACACATAGTCAATCTGCAAACCTGACGCATACTATTTAAAGCTCGTTCTACTGTGTCGATCTTGGACCTTTTCTTGTCCAATAATCACGCAGTAAGAACTGATGCGGAATCCAGCCTCCGTTCTATGTATTTTACCAAATATCTCCAATCGTGCACATCACAGTGTTATTTCTTGTTATGACCTTAATGGATTTTCAGGGTCGTCTGAATAAAATTACCTTTTAATACATGATTTTGCTAGTTACTAATATTGACCCTGAACTAGCCCTGTACTAAAACATTAATAATAGGGTTTATCCGTTAATAATATGAAAATGCCCACCAGGATAGTTCCTGGAAAGTACCCGCCGCCCAACACGAGTATACTGAGCAATAAAATATTTATATAACCGTGTCGTACTTTACATAGGACGACAACCATTGGTAAACAATTCATTAATACAGGGAGGCTTGAAATCAGACAATACAATGGCAATATAATTTAATAAAGCTTTAAATTTTAAGTGGCCCTTTCGCAGTATTTCACAATCTAAGATAAATATATATTCAAATAATAACTGCCAATGCGATGTTAAACATTGAAAGATATTGCACAAATAAAGTTTACATTGCAACAAATATAAATCGAAAAATTGTAACCGTGAAAAAGAGCAAAGTGCAAAAATACAGTAACAGTAAAATATTCACTATCGCAGAAGAGATTACAAGAATTAATATCGTCATATCCTTTAATATGTTCCCCGGAGAAATAAGTTCAACATCATTATCTTTCTGTAGATGCTGCAGTGTTGGTCACGTTAGGAATGAACCAGTTGCCAACGATGAGGGTGTCGTACTGAAATAACCCATTATGGAGCATGCAGTGACACGAATAGCTGCTGCACTTTTTCGTCTACGGTAACTTAAATTTTGAGTCTAATGATATATATCAGAGAATAAATAATATTAACTTAGGTGGACACGTACAAAATGCAAGTAGAAAAAAAGCACTGCAAATTTCACGTGAGGCTCATAACTGAGACTCTAAAATTAAATATATTTGTAATGCATTGGAATGTGTATCAGTTGTCAGTGTGCGCTACTGTCTCATTCGATTGTACTTCGTCTGAAATCTGCTATATACCCGTACACACGTTAAAATTCCATGATAACAATTCCTTTATACAACCAACGTAGTAGCTTGTATCATAGCAGATATACTAAAATATAAAACGTGCAAATACAATAACCCGTAAAACCAAGAGTTGTGCGGGTAAACGAACGCTTCCATCCCAATCAGTAGATCGTAAAAATATAGTTTGGAAGGATAAAAATGTTATCCTCTGGGTTCGTCTATAAGTTAAAAGAGCAAGACCCTCTGTGTGAGGAATTATTAATGACATGTTGTTTTATAAAGAAACCGTGTACTATTGCTTGTTTAGCGCATTTTCACATCAACCTATACCATTTAGCTATTGGTTTTCTTGGATTTCTGATAACTTCAAACCAGTGGTCTTGAGCTTCTCCACTAAAGTCTCTCCCAAGCCAAGCTTTACCTATTACTTTGTCAAACTCATTGCTCCCTTGTAACGACATGGCATGCATGACAGTCACAGCGAAGGTAAGGTTCTCCATCTTCTCTGCCGGTGCGTCAAATGACAAGGCCTCGTTAAAAACCGGCTCCGTCGTTCCTCCGTGAGTGGCAGTTCTTCGTTTTTGCAAGGCTTTTCCGTCGTGGACCATAACAACTTTCGTGTAGACATCTGAAATAAATTGTTGGCGTCATATTACATATCAACAGGATTTTTATTTCATAATAAATAATTGTCTGTATTTGTGGTTTTCATTACGTTTTTTTTTTTAATTGAGACATACAGGTATATACATATATGTTTTATAATGTATTAAAATTCAGGCCAGTCATATTGCAGGTAAAATAATTTCCCGACATGCCTTTCCAATGAAATTTAACGAGTGGGATATTGAATACTACTAACTACTAAAAAGGCTGTGTGACTAGTAGCGGTAATCTTGTCACGATGGCTTGTTATGATAATAATTCTAAATATTACCGAGTAAAATGTATTTTCGACATCAATATATGAATATTTCAAAGCACGCGTGGATGTGGGTTTCCGTATCCACGTGAGTTTCGCAGCCTGATAGAATTTGTAATGCCCTTTATAATTGTATGCACTGCCGATTTTCGAAATGCCATGAGAGACGTTTCCTCCAATACCGGCTAAATCTAATATTTAATGACTTCTGTAATACCCCCCCTCCCCCCCCCCGAATTTCCTAATCATTTAGAATTAACTAATATTTTCGAAAATAGAATTATCGCCCTGTTTAAATTCTTACTTGGGTATTTGACATCTACTGCAGGTGATAGAAGATTTATTGCTTTAATGATTGTGACTGTGATTCTCTCTGCCAAAGGGAGATACGACAGGGACACCAGGATTTCACCCAGAGAATCCTGAAGGAAAATAACAATTATCGGAGAAATTAACTGTTCATCCTGGAGGGAAATAACAATCATCAGAGAAATTAAGGGTTTGATGTTTCCTCTGAAATGTGGTTCATTAATAATTGCTGGGACAGTATTCCTGCCGTTATATAAAATCAGAACATATAATGCTGGTATAATATTTCCATGTCTACAATGTCGGCATACATGAATGCTTCGCTTAGAACATACAGTATTTTATATCCTTTATGAACAATTGTGTCAAATAAGTCAACTCGCAGTGAAATGGACAGACAATTAGCAAAAAAATAATCTTTGAACCATATTATAGTAAAGAAGATTTAAATGTTTTGCTTTAGAATATATATATATATATATATATATATATATATATATATATATATATATATATATATATACTTTTAACTTATTTCACGCCTACCTTTTCCACTTCCCGAAAAACCTCAGTAAGTTGCACTTCTTCTGCAAAAGAGATTTCTTTCAGGTTTATCACAACTTGTCCTAACTCCCGGCACCTAGAATACCTGTCCGCCTCGCAGGCAACGAACTTCAACACGGCGTGCTTCAACTCGCTAGATTTCATACTCATAGCAAGTGTTTCTTGGATCTCTAAGTCCTGTGAGCGGCGATAGTGGTTCGTCTCCACGGTAAATTCTTGCTCGTCAGTGGACTTTTTCTGTCGCCGTTTGCGACGTTTTTTCGATATGATGAAAGAGACTCGCAAAAAGAAGTCTGAAACACCACTAGCATCTTTAGGCGGCAGATTACGCGCCTCTGTGATATTTATCACAAGTTTTTCGTCCTTATTATAATAACTTAACGTGAAGGATAAATTTGGTCTAGGAGGTTTGCTGAGGCCCGAGTCGCTAGTGCCATCAGACATGGGTAGACTTTCCACGGAGCCGTAGTCTTTGGGCATAATAAACAAGCCATTCACCTGGAATAAAAATAAGAAAGAAACAACCAAGCAAATTAATGTGTGTATAAATGAACAAAGAGAAGAATTTTGTTTAAAAAAGGCCTGCAACGTTTTTAATAATTCACTCATAAAAATATTATAACAAGGTATTCTGCTTTTAATAATTTACTCTTAAAACATTCAACTAGCAATATGGTGAATGGGCACAACATATGCACCAAATCTGTGGAATACTTTGCACATTGATATAAAAATTGCAAATGACTTGGATAGTTTTAAGAAACGTTAAGAAACTTGCATGTTTAAATCAATTTATAGCATAATTTATACGGATGAGTGTTATTGTTTTATATCTTCCATCCTTTTAAACTGATCTTATTTATAATGATGATTTTTTATTCTTATTTTTTTTAAACTTTTAATAATCAATTCGTAACTAATGCTTTTCATTTGTTGAAATGCGGCCAATGAGAAAAGATTATAATAATCATTATTAGTCATCGATGTCGGATTATGGAACGATAAGTGTGTTTTTTCAAGCTATCCTCCAAGTTGTTCATTTAGCACAATCAATTTCATATCCTTTTTTGTATTTTTGATGACTATAATTCACGCTCATGCCATTACCGAGTATTTAATTCCATAGATAAATTCAAATGACGAGCCTTCACTTTACCATGTTAGAAATGTTGCCTTCTGAATCACTTTCGTTTCTATTTCATTTTAACTACGTCTATTTTCTCCCAAACACTTCCCAGATCTTCCACGTTATTTTCAATTCCAGGTCTACGCATACACACCAAACAGACGCCATGACGCATAATATCATATGTTTAGTCGGACGCACTTGTACATCAAGGATAGCTTTAAACTTACTGTATCAGTTCCTTTGTGCTCTAAATTATAAATGTACTCTGTGGAAGGTAAAGGGGACAGCTTGTACGCTTTTGTAGGGAATTTCTCTTCTTCTTTATAGGCTATACGTATATTTTCATCTGCAAATGAAACCATAACTCTTTACCACTGAAAAAACTACAAATATGAAACGTTCAACACTAGTACACAGCAACAGACAATTCTTATAGTGAAGTTGTAATTTATCTCAGATAAATAGTAAGAAAATATCTTTCACAGCCCTCATAGAATATAGACTGGGTTCTTAGAAGTAAGAAAAGCTGCACTTACAATTTGATAACTCATTTCAAAAGAAATGTGAAACGCAATACAATAGCAAAAATAATAAGCAATGTTGATAATACTGGATTACACAGAATATAAATATTGGTGAAATGTTCATCTATGTTGAATTCAAACACGACGTGGGTATCATTTAGTACAAGTGAAGACATAAATAATTAACAAAAACCCTGCAGTAACTTTATTTCATTTTTGTAAAAGAAAAAAAAAACATTTACAATACCATTTAATCACATTTAAAAAAGATTTTAAAGACAAAGTTTCGATTCTATATTTAAGCTTGAGAAGGGTTTCGATTCTCTTAAAAGATCCTTAAAAGTTGTGCTGCGAATTTTTTTCCCCACAAAAACGGCGCAATTTCCACACCTTTTTCTAGGAATGCACTTGAACAATGCAAGCCACTCGAAACGCGGCAAAAATATTCATTCAGCGATACTTAATCTAGAGAAAATAACCTTCTTCTAAGAATACGTCTTACTGACATTTAATTGTTAGTGTGTCGTCAAGAAGAATTACAGAAAATAAAACTCTGCAGCTACTTACATTTATGGTCCGGGTAGACAGCTTTGAGTGGACAGTATTCGTACAGACAGCAGCCTGGGCACAGTTTGCACACCATACATAAGAAGACGAGGAGGAGGAAACCTGCACAACCACCAATGATGGCTACCTGTTGCCAGGTATCGAGCACGACGTTGATCATTTCGCCTGGTAACAAGTATTCATCTGAAATGCAACATTTAAAAATATCGTTCGCTATAAATACTTTCTGAAGTAATTAGTGCACTACATAAAATGGGATGCAGAGTAGAACTCATTTGTACAATCTTAGGTCGCATACAAGTGATATATATCCTCATCGCCTGTGTAAACGCTGGGTGCTCCCGCCTAACTAATATATTCCATTGTCCTGGTAGCACCTGAACAAAATGGCATGTTAGATTTACGCAGTGCGTCTGTGTCCCCGAGTGCTCTGAGTGACCGCGGGGAGAATGCTGAACATTTGTGTATGCTGTTACTGCCCTTAACGCAAGATGACGCAGGCTTCAACGCTTCGTTGCTGTACGTGCCTTGTTGACACAGCTTAACTTCGNCACCACCTTAAAATCGCTTTCTATGATATCGTTCCCTCCCAGCACATCGTCCAAATAACTACCTGTGAAAAAAATCGTCAGCATACAGCGCCGCTTTGACACTACTGATTTCGAATTCTAACGCGAAATAACGCATATAAAATCAATCTCCGAGCGGAGGAGAGCGACCCAGACGAAACCTTGAGACAGGAGGCCCCCCGTAGCTAGCTCCGCCCACCGTAACAGACATCGGACAATAGAGAGGCTTGCGTGTAATCTCCTTCTGTTATAACTCCTTGACTTCACAAATATCTAGTGGGCGGTAGGTGTACGCTCCACGATGAAGGTAGTCTCTCCAACCTTATAACTTAATGTCCCATCACTACCCTTTTGCTATCGAGTGCCACAAAACAGGTTTACTAGTATTGTGCCGTCCAAATGTCCCTTTCATCCTAATATAAATGTGTGTGTTTTGAATGGACCGGATTCATATGACCTGGACAAAAGATGCTGTTATGACTATCATTATTCAAGATCCAAGAATTTATAAGAATTTATTGGCATTAGGGTAACCGCAAGATAACGTTGTTCGAAAATGCCGGCTCGCATATTGAATGTACTGAAGATTTACCAGCAATGTAAATACATTTACGTTTAGTATGTCCTTTTTGGTTAAAACAAGCTCGTAATGGTGGAATTGGAATATATAGGTTCATATATTAACCATGTGATGCGGAAGCCAACGATCTTAACATTCACTGATGATTTTGATACTGATATTCTATGCATTCAGTCAACCCAAGCACATGTTATTTAAGTATGCCTTTTAAGAATGAGTAGGTATTTAAACGGGGCTTAAATACTCATAAAAAATTATAATAAACCCTAAGGTAGGTGCAAAAAACCGATAGTACCTTCATATGCATCCCTTACCCCTTTAATGGCATGGCTTTACATGCAAACATAAGCTACCATGGAACGAGAGCACATAATGGGTTTAACTATACCCTCTCTTTTTTCCGTGCCTCCCTCCCCCAGAGTGAAGTCCTGGACCTTTACCAGAAAGCAACAGTAAATATGGGACTCAGTATCGTTTTATATAGCTCTGTTAGGATTTAAAGTGTGTGTATGTGTGTGTGAGAGAGAGAGAGAGAAAGAGAGAGAGAGAGGTATAACAAAATGCTTTTATATGCTTCCATGCTCTGGCTAGATTTCAAGTCTATTCAATTTAGCAAATCTTATCTGTGCATGAAATTGCTAGCCTTGCCGTTTACAGATGGTAATTTGGGAGCAGCACATAAACGTTGATTGTAATCAGCGGATGAAGCACCTCGATATCATTACTTAACAACTTACCTAACAAGTACATTCATTGTATAGGTCGTTTTTATTCAGAAGTATGATGCTTTAAATATGTGTGCGCGCATAAATACTAATGCCTCAGTAAAGGTTGGTTTTCCTAAAATGCCTAATTCTCCCTAATATCGGCGTGAAATTATAATAATTTTATTAAATTAAATTCATAACTTTTCTATTCTTTCTACTATGTCTACGTTACCACCAATGCTATTCAAAATTAACTTTCTCATCAAACTTTATTTTATTATTCTTTACTTTGTACGCCTTTTATTTTAAATAAAAAAGTGTCGGCTTACTTCCTACTACGTAAGCTTTGGTTTAGTCATCATATCTCAAAGCAGCCACTCTCTTTTCTTCTTTTCAAGTTCCCTTTTTCCGATCACGACCATGCTATTTTTCGTGCAAAATTTAATCTGTTATGTATTTCTCAAGACACTAACAGTTTGGGAATACACAGTACCGTCGCAGGTAATGCCCCCGCAGCGCCCACGGGGGCTCGTCGAGGCATTTATTTCAGATTCAGTTCATGGCTCAACCCTACAGTTTAATCCCCCATCCCGAGCAAGGTTATATTTTGTCAACAAACTCTATGTTTGACTCTGATAACAAACATATGGCAATAAAAGATTAACATCATAGTCGAAAAGATCTCTGGACGAGGAACAGGGTGCTATCACCGCTGTAACACTGCAGTATGTAGGCATCTAGAGTAAGAAGTAAGTGGCATTAATATAGTATATTAATGTGCCAAAGTTCGTTTCTTTATATGAAACTATAAACACCTATCCATACTTTCTGGATCATTTCGTAACATCGACTGTTAGAGATGTCAACAGTAAGAGGCATTCTAGACAAGGTTGCTGCACTTGACTTCTATACCTTGAGGACGATTAAAAGTTTTTCAAACGCATGAAAATGCTATCACTTACCATGGTTGGTGCACGAATATACCCTCCACCTAGATGCTGAGACAGCGCCATTTTGGTGTGACTGTATGTGAATGGGTTAAGTCACGAACCAGTAGATGCTCTGAGCTTGGTATATGGGTCGCCACTCGCTGTTTGAATAATCATGTATACAAGTGGTATTAGTGCGCATGCTCTGCATCTCGCATGCCTTAAAATTTTTGGACGTAAGTATATATATCCCCTTGCCCTCTACCAGGGCCACAGAATTATTTTCCAATAGATATTCATACACATGTCTCTGCCTAAGACATTACTTTTTTCTACTTTAAGAGAGAATTTGTGCATCAATTTTATCACTTTGGCACTAGTACAGAGTAACATCTTTACGTTCCCAAACTGTAACTCCCCGGGTCGTTACACCCCAGCACCATCACTACCCCACATTGTTACTCCCCCAAAGTATAGCTTCTCCCTGTTAAAATGCAATATATAAAACATAATTCCTAAACTTAAATCCTGTATATACAGCATTCTTATAAAAAATAAACAATTCTTAAATTTTTCAAATTTTCATTCAAAAACCTGCGAGAGTAAGCAATGGTCCGGTGGGAGTATCGATGTGCTGGTGTAACGATACAGGTAATATAATTTTGCTAGGCTAAGTAACGATGCAGTGAAAAAACGCAGCGGAGACGGATACAGATGACCCCATCTTTCAAACATGTATTGAAAAGGTGGTCGTTTCTGACGATGACACGTTGGTATACAGATAAAGGCAACTGCTGGCGCGGTTAATTACGTAAAATCGAATTGATGATAATTTCTGGAAATATGGTGTATTTTCTTTTTAATTCCAGGGCCTGAATTTATGTTTCTTTTTAACCTAAAATCCTTTCAAAAGCTCAATACTCTTCGGACATGTTAGAATTCTACAAATCTGAGAATATACATGTACAGTTTGATCACTGTATAGAGCGAATCATCATTATAAGAAAGCAGCCCTGGCGAAGTTTGCGACACGTTAAAAAACATTAAAGACATAAATGCGACCTTTGGAGTTCACGGCGGACCTTTTTCATGCTCAGCATATTTTTTCTAATTTGATGGTATCTATTTTTAAGCACCACGTTGTAGAATACTCGTCACTTTACAGAAAGAGAATAATTTAAGAAGACAACTAACCGCAGTTGCGGTTTGAGATATTCATAAGAACAGCCATTTTTAATTTTGATCTTCATGTTTACACAAACACGACACAGATGGCAGGTGCAGCTGCGGAAACGTTAATTTGCGTTGCGGAGACGCTAAGTGAGAATCTAAGGGAGGTAAGACTGATGCCTCACGATTGGTTGGTATTACAAGTTATGGTAAATCTATAACTATCGCTGAAAAACAAGAAATGATCCGATTGTGCCCATTTTTGGACCATGTACGTATTTGGGGACAGTGAATTGACTTTGCAGCACAACAGCAACATGATTGCTTTTCAGGAACAAATAGCGTGAATGTATCCTTTACCAGGGCCACAGATATTCACAGGTATTTCTTTGGCTAATTCTGTGAACGATGGGAAATCGACCTAGCCATACTCCTTTCAATTAAAATATGAACATGTCTAAAATTAGCTTAAAATCATCAAACTTCAACCACCACCTTTGACCGTAAAAGCAGAATCTATCCGTATGCTGTCAAGTTGATCTTTTCGTATTAAAAAATAGTTCATTTACCATCATCTAATTTGTGTAACCAGAGTAAAATTTAGACGTTGACCTATAAAAGAGAATTGTTTGCGTCACTTTGAAAAAAGTTATGTTTAAAATATTAATTATAAGTCGTGTTGCAAGTTCATCCCCCGCCATTTCAATTTATTTCCTATTTATTATTTCCTACCTAAAAAAACTAAATGCGGAAAACGTGTTTATGGGAAATTTAAAGATATAAGATCCGTTCCGTGACTGCCCGCCTTTTTCCTAGAAAAGACTTGTATTTAAAACGTTTTTTCATTCAAGAAAACCACACAGCCACTACAATGTCACCAAACTTAAGATGCCTTTAAGTTGGATTTCATTCATCACACGTTTCGATTTCGATTTTTTTCCCGTGTAGGATGAAAACCTTCAGTATGTAAACAATAATGTATATTCTTTTCACAAGAAAATACGTTGAGCATCAAGTTACCTCAATTGCTTGCATAACCTTTGGTCTTTTTAGTCCTTTAAAATGTCACGATAGTTATTCAGTGAAATATTTCAAAGACAAGATCATATTTACACGGAAGTAATGGAGTGAGTGTGGGCAGATTACATTAAAAAGCTTTAGTGTTGGGCATAAAAAAACACTATTTGTTAACTTCACATAAATCGAAGGTTGGTTTTACTAGATTTTGCGTTATTATTCCCTCTGCTCTTGTTTGGGTTTTTTAAAGTCCAGGATTCAAATTGACCACCGAAAATAATATTGCCCTAAAGGAAAAAATACGTAGAAATAGGGACATGCTTCAGTGTGCAAGTTTTCATAAATAATGACAAAAATTAAATCTTCAAACATGATAATAACTTAAGAACTTATTTCTATCTATTTCAATCGATGTTCTTTTGTGAAACCTGTAATATGGTACTTGTTTTGAAAATGAAAATTGTATACCGTTATATATCCTCAGTATGAATTATAAGGAGTCCAAATGGTTGTCACTTTTGAGAATATACATCTTTTGACATTTGGAAAATAATTTAACATGTTCCTTTCTCCTCTGTTGATATCATTTCTCATGATATCTAATGATATTAATACGTATAAGTATCAATTTTATGAAATAATGAATTTCTCTATGTGCTTCCACATGCAATGACTCGTATAACCAATCTGCAGCAAACCCATTAATCAGTCTCACCTTCCAAATAATCATACATTCACACGCAATTCCTCATCCACATACATCAGAGAGTTAATAGACCATTATCTCCATCTCAATTACAAATACCATATCCAGTGAGACGTGTAAAAATAAAGCGTTTACTAACCACAAAAATTGAACAAGCCATTCCCTAACAATATTTGAATATGTCAATATCAATGTAGATTTCCAGAGAATTGCTGTAAACATACTGGAATGTAATTTTTTTTTTCAAACACGGTCTTGTATTTGCGTTCGTTAATTTAAAAATATTGGGCTCCTATCTGTCTGCATCATAAGTGCTTCTCTTTCTTTTCACTGCCTGTATCCATATGATAAAATGGGCCATCCATTTATCTGTTTGTAACAGAACTATGTGGTTAGCAGGCTTGTAACAATTATCGATGCAAATAAATGGATAAAGTTGCTAATCACCAACTTGACAATCTCGTAGGTGACGGAAAGTTAAGACATGCGCAGTTCATGCGGCAAAAGAAAACATTTATTTCGTGATGATGGCGGATATGTACATGTATTTATAAATGTCACGATGGCATGAGTATATCAGTGAGAGGCAGAGGGTTTGATGATAGTATTTTGCAAATTTTGTCGCTGGACGACATGGGGTTTTCACACAGTCCATCACATATGTGGAAGGTAAGTTTGGTTAAAAAAGATATAGTTGGTATTAGTATCAAACATTTTAAAGCAAGTCAATTATACCCTTTTTACATTGATTAATGTAAAGTCTTGTAGTGGCCGCACTCAACAATTTTAATGATTTTTCTCTAAATAGCATGTTATTTTATACTTTGTCTTTGTTAAAGAATTTTGAGCACAAGATATATTTTGGTCGATTTGATGGGTTTGTCCTGCAAAAGGATTATGATAAAGGAGCAGTCGGTAGCTATTGGACATGCGGAGACTTGGTTTGGTTTAAAACATGTCATAAGACAACCCATATATAATCAATCAGCGATTCAATCGCATGAGTTGAACCCCCCTCAAAGAAAGTAAATGCCATCAATTGAATGAATGCAGAAAAAAGGATATATATATATATATATAGCAAAATATTAAATGAAAAATGAGTTAACAATAGACCATTTATCAATGGTTATAACGAACTGGTGATCATGATTAATGACGTCAATAGTCAAATAGTCAACATAAAGTGATAATTTTCATTTTATATGTGTCATTTGTTGCACTTGTACTCGATCGATTGGTATTTTGAGACTTTTTTTCTTTTTTGCGGAAATGAATGTACACGTAGATCAGATTGTGTAATAATTTCATAGTCAGAATATACCCTTCGACATTAACTGTAACTGTAACATCCACAACAAGTCTTTTAACTCATATTCAATATATAGGTCCATATGAAGAAAACAGAAAAGTGAAAATGAAGTTAAAGATATAAACGCGAATTCTATTTTTTCTAAATCTCTGGTGACAGAAAGAGATAAATGTAGCTTTTTTATGTAATTCATGGAAATTTTTTTAATTCATGCTTTGCTAGTATGGGGAAATTTTTGTATTTAGTAACGAAGGTTTCAGCTGCTTTTGTAACGAAAGTTGTCAACAACCATAATATTTGTAATGGATAATAATTGCACTTTATTAATACTTACAAAAATTAGACTTTGCTAGAGGGGTTTTACAAAATACACGCTTATTTTACTGACACATTTTGTCCTGAACAATCAATTATATTTTTTCACAATGCCTGGTAAAGAAGGTTTTGGAAATTACTTTCTAAGAGAATACAGTAATGCCGTGTTTTGTGTAAAACATTTAACTATTCCCTGTCACCATATCGTCAAGATAATCATGGGTGTAACTGAATAGATGACTAAAATATTACAATAATGGCTAAAATATTGCAAATACACCAAACAGTAATAAATGATTACCTCCACCAAAAGACGTAACCTAGTTTTTTTTTCAATTTTTTAAAAACCTGACACAGCGGCGACACAGAGAAAGTAGACGCAAGATATTTATTCAGTTACTTAAAATAAACATTCTAGACATTTTCTGTGAGGTTAGATATCATACTCGCTTCTACTGAAGTAAAAAAATAAGATAGATCGGTTGGGAAATGTGAGATGGTGCTGCGAGCGGCAGTAACGAAGGTCAAACTTTTCTTTAAAATTTAGTGCATTTATGTTTTTTGTGTAAGAACAGATAAATCCAATAATTATTGTTTTTAGTTGCTAAACTGATGTTTGTACAGTTCTACTTGGAAATCAATCTTCCGCTCGCTTACTTTTAATAAAATTTTTTAATTTTTTTTAATTGACCTGTATATTGCGAATTAGTGACTTGCTTTTAATACTCAATAAATCTTGTACCATTTGCTGCTAACTCGACCAATAAATAAGTTACATAATTGCTGTTTGATTGGTTAAATAAAACGATGTTCAGGATATATATATATATATATATATATATATATATATATATATATATATATATATATATATACCACCGGCAAAGGTTATAACCGACTTGTTTAAAGACTGTCAAGACAAACTTTCAGCTACTTGTAGTTCTATTATTTTAGTCAATTAACCAAAATAGGCCATTAAATCTGCCTCATAACGTTATCCATTATAATTTGTATAAAACAAATAGTAACGCAGCTTATTCTCTACAACTCTTCACAACAAAAATCGTCTGTTGCAGTAAAGCGATCTTAAAGTGCGCCTTTAATTTCTTGAGGAACAGGGAGATTGAGTTGTAGCAAACAAGCAGTTTTGTAGCTAGCAATCTTAATGGGAGGATCTTTTCTGAAAAGCGGACCTTTTAACTGCAAAATCCACATGCGTTCATAGAAACAAGATCAAATTTTGGGTCAGAAAAAGAGAAGTTTTTTCCTGGTAAAAGAAATCACCGTTTAAACGTAAACGTAGAAACACTAATAATGAATAACGTACAAATTATACAAATCCTCACATTGATGTTTTCTGAAATTGGAAAATTTGCATTTTGTAGGGTGTAGCAACGGCAATGGTCCTGTTTTCCTTGAGCTCCTACGTCAGCGCAGCACCCCGGCGATGGAAGTGTGACGTGGTGGAAGGGGTTCAGACGGGCTCACGAGTGCCGGAGATGGGGGCTATCATAGGGGCATCTTTAAGCACTACTAACTTTTCAGCTAGATCTCAAATTGCCTTAAGGCGCAGTGGCGAGGAACAATTTGAACCAGAAAGGCCCTCGATGAGACCTCGCTGGATGGAAAGACAGGTGCGCGCAGAACGCGGTGTGGGGAACTTAGCGCCTTGTGAGTGCATGTCAGAGACTCACTTTCGTGATCTAGGCCAGGGCTTTGACCCTCGTTTTATTCGTGATGTTTTATGTAAAGGCAAATGTTCAAACGAGCACGGGGTGTGCGTACCTCGAAACAGGACGGTCACTGTTTTGAAGAGACTCCCACAAACATGGCATCTTGAGTGTGAAAATGGCTTTAGACCAGTTGGATTAACTGGGGGTTGGGGGAAAACGAAAGTCATGGTCACAACACATTGTGACTGCGTACTGTGATGTGTATATGCAAGGTGAGATTCTCAGATATTTGCTGATGGAGTCATACCTGGGAATATTATCTAAATATCCAAAAACAAAATTGGAGCCTAGAAACATAATATATATAGATATAGATATACGTGTCGTAAGCTTTCTTGATTAGGAACATTCAACACGATACAGTGTTCAAGCTGTAAATTTGTCTATTGACTGACGCAAAAAGTTTATTAACATCGAATTTAATAAACCACATCAAATCTCGACTTCTGTATCAAGCTTTTCTTTTACAAAGCAAGTACAATTTTTCGTTTGAGGCAGTTCTTGTAAAATGGTTATCAACCCCCTTCAAACATGTTTTTGAATTGAGCTAGGTATTTTTACCACAATTTTCTGGGGTTGTCAATGGATTTGATAATGACAGCAGTTTAAAATTTATGGATTATTTACTTAGGTAATATCCTACGATATTCTATAAGGCTAAGCGTAATATTTCTGATTTACCCCGAGTTCCACAGCGTGGATTGGTGATCAATCGCCTTGTTTTTTTTTTTTTTTTCTTTTTTTTTTACAACAGTGAGAACAATAACATCATAAAAATATTATTAAAATCCGATCCTTTTAAATTATGCTGGACTTTTTATGTTTGTGGTTGTTCACGACCTTGACAGCTAGAATTTAATGTGTTGCGATTTTTCACAATTTGGCAAATGAAATCAAGGAAGTAGTCATGGCGGATGAATTTATTTCATTCTGGCAAATGCATCTTAACACAAACTCAAAACAAAGGACTAAGAACAACCATCACATAATACATTTTATTTAAAGTTTTCCAATCATAGTAACAGGAGGGCTTGGACCGTGCAATTAAAAATATTTACACTAGTGAGAGAATACTGCACCACCAGCACAGAACCGGTAATAGAAGAAAAACAATGGACAAGATAGGACTATTACAGTAGGTAACAGCGTAATGGAATTAAACACATGCAACACTTGCATCTTAACATTCATAAAGAGAATTTGTATTCCGCTCTCTAAAAAGGTTTTAAAAATTAAATGATCTAAAAGGCATGTATTTGTTTTTTCGAGATTTCTAAAAAAACTTATTTAAGAATACATAATTATAATGCAACCGTATAATTTTTAAGTACATTAATCTGATGTAAATCGATCTAAACAGGCGGAGGGAAAAAAACGCACGCACTGCATACTGAGGCATCAGTAATCGTTAAAAATTGATATCATGCGTTCAAACACTAAATTTTAAATAAATCTTATCTGCAATTGACAGTCTCATAAAATTGTTCTAGTCAGTCATTTAGCATCAAATTTTTCAGGACACTCAGTATATATAATGACAACCTTCCAGGTAATTTAATTCATATATAATACAGGACTGTATATATGTATCTCTGACTCAAAAGAAAAATAGGGCATATCTCTGATATAAAGGATAGAAAAAAAACGACCCCACAATACTTGATTAAGAAAAAAAACTTACAGTGGCATCTTTTCGATCAAATATTTGATCGCAGTGGATCCATTGACGTTAATCTGTGGCCTTTATCTATTTACACCGTCAAGCCCTGAGGCTGACACACTAATAAGTTAACGAGCTGATTGTGGCAATTTCTACTTGATGACGCTCTGAACGCTGTCACCTTGATTTGGCAATAAAGTGAATACATTTACAATTGTCAATTATTCTGCACTGCAATCACAACAAAACGTTACGGACCGTTCCTCAAATATCCACTCGTGTTCGTAGCGAATGATTTCGCGTCGATCATCTTGTCCTGTGGGATTCCCATACACAGGGACACAAGCATCAGTTTTTCTTCTAAGAACATTAACAGTAAATGCACGAGGAACACAGCTATAGTGTCCAAACCAACAGTCTTGTTGCGTGCATTCAACCGTCCGCAGAAATCTTGGAAAGTGATCGGAGCCCAGGTCATCCCATACAATCCTCGAGTCACACTGCCACGGTGGTGAGCCACCACGTCCGCCACCCGGTCGGCGCGGTGAAGTTTTCGCACGTTTCACGCGGGAAAGAAACCTCTCCGAAGCACTCCGCCTGTGTTGCCCATGATGGTGTCGTCTGTGTTGAGAACTGACATAGTCACTGGGTAAATCGCGTTCGAAACCTTCAGGTACTCGGAACTGTCCGTGATGGTTGGCAGGATCGTGGCGCCGGCGAATCTCGATAGGTTCATCCCCAACCATGCCACCAGCCAAACTCATCCCGACCGACGGACGCAAGTAAGGCCTGCTGATAGACATATAGCGAGCATTGAATGCTGGGCCAAGCATTTGTCGTAAAGTTTCCGTCGACGTGGGCTCACACTCAATCTTGACACTTGGCATGTGGCGATCGTTATCACGGTTGGAAACTCTAGAGGTGTGATAAGCAGCTCTGGCTACCGATGCATCATCGGCTTGAATGGCAGTTAAGTCCTCTGCGGTCATATGGGCACTGGCGTTTTTGTTTGCATTTGTTCTTAAATGTTTTTCGTTTTCTAAAATTTGTCCTCTTCTTGTTTGTCCCGATAAACTTGCGAGGCTCCTAGTCTCCACTCCAGGATCTTCTTGCAGAGGCGCTGTCTTAATAATACGGACCGACATGATAGTTATTAATCCCACCACTACCCACAATATCTGAGGGTTCACTTGAGAATTGTTTCTGAAATAAGGAGATATCATTATGCAGCACCCAACATAAGTTATCCCTCGTATGGCGTTTTAAAGAAAGCAGATATTAATGTCATCCTTTTGTTAGGAACAGCGTCATTTTATACCAATAACGCAGCACGCTTGTAAGACTTTTTTCCGAGGGTTTTGTTTCCTTAGTCCTGCTAATATCTCAAATTTGACGTGCCACGATAAGAATCAAAAGTCGTCTTTTGAGTGATGGTCCGAAGAAGTTGCTGTCCATAACGCGCCTCCGCCCAAAATTGAGGACAGGTGCCCTCTTTAAACAATTTTTCCTGATCCGTAATTGTAATGCGATGATTTTTCCTCACTCACAAATCATCCACAGGTCGTGCGTGTGTATCAAGGTACACTGATGATAACTATGCTTCCGCAAGATGAGGTATCCTTTCATAAAATGTGGTCACAAAGTTGTTTTCGTGATAAAGTAATATTTTCAGCAATATTCCCACCTACGACTTGTCGCGTGCCTTGTCAACTTAGAACGTTCCTTGCCGATAACGGTTTATCCACAGAACCAAAAGTTTGCTTTCCTCAAAGAAAGTGTGCTTCCTTGTGCGAGTTGTCACGTTTGGTCTCTGAATGATACCTGTGAGAGCCGCGCATGCATCACGCCTACACGGTACCTGTACCGCTCAGTTAACAGGGCATTGTGTATACTGGCAGGGGGTTATTAAAGCCTCGCCCCAGCGATTTCGCTGATTCTGAAACATCAGATAACGAAATGACGACACGGTGTTAATAGCCATTGAACCGCATTGATCAAAGAAGCATGCTACCCAGTGGCCAAATCGGGGATTTGTATACAAATCTTTCAACCACAAAAGGACAGTAAGTCACATGGGTTTCACCTGGACCACGGGGAACTTCCAGGTACTAAGTAGCCGGGCAGGTACATGCTAGAACCTATTATGTACAGTAGCTTTATTCCTACGAGAAAGTGATTTATTTCACATTTTCCAGTCATCGGACACCTTTTGTAAGTTAATCGATGCATACAATTACCTATGCTCATTCTTCGGATACAGGTTCATTTTAGATACTGTACCTGATACGAAACGATGCATTTCCACGGTTATTTACCTGCGTAATTCTCCAGTAATTTGGTTGTATAAACTCATTCATTTACCCTAAGATGTACCAGTAAGGCAGCGGTGTTTTCGCGAGACGTGTATAGCACAACTACGCACCATGTGCTTCTAGCCGACATTGAAAACAAACACAGAGTACGTTGTATGATTTCCATCATGAACAACTCATTATCACCGATTTCAAAGTGATACGCAGATTAGGACCTTTGAATCAAAATGTAACTTTTACTGAAACAAATTGGTTGCAAACAAACGATATTTGATGAATTTTGCAGTTGAAGCCAAGTCGTGAGGCCTGATAATGAGCCGATGCTCCATTGTATTTAACTGGCCACCTCCCTCCCGCCGGGCATGTTGGTCAGCTCTCATGATTATAATAACGACGGTGCTGATCACACCGATAGCGCCTGGTCACCTAATTAGCCTCCGGTTGGAGGTGAGCACTAAGGAGATGTATCTGGTCGGCTGAAATTTTAATTTGTTTCCTATACTTCAGAAGACTATGATCTACATGGCTTCAGATATTAACAATTCATACAATACCTTTTGAATTTTAACAGATGCTTCATCTTTTTTTCCACTGCGCGAAAATGAGTAAGTTTTTCTAGTAAAGAAGTGTTCTGATTGGTATTCTAAAGACTTTTATTACCGCAGATATTAAATATGGATAATTCATGTTTGATTTTGTATTTAAAAAATTAGTACCGCCGAAAAATCTGACATTTTTTAAGTCTTTCGAATCCTACCAAAAGGGCACAATCTGCAGATAACGCGATTTCACGGTGATTTGACTCAAATTGTTGTCTTATATGAAAGAGATGAAAATGTTATCGGCTTCATACCAGTCTAGTTCCGTGGCTGTCAAACTTTTTGACTACATTGAGTCAATTTTGTCATTTTTATTAATTGTCTTTGGCTATATATAATATGTTTTACCGCATAAAATTCCCTGAAGGAAATGCCATTTTACCAAAACAATTTTTAAGAGACGAAAAAAAAAATGTAAGAAAAAACTTCTGACTGATTCAGATTAGATAAAACCATGAAATATATTTCTATAAAAACCGGTTGCATTGTTTCACAGGGCGTCCAAATATATGAGCGACATCATATCAAAAATGTCCTTTCCCCCTTTTTTTTTCAGTATATGGAATAATACCGCTAGTAAAATTTTTACAAATGACTGATTACAAGTTATTCGAAACACTCAAGCTAGATATACAGCATTCGAAACGAAAAAGGTAAAATGGCAATTTTGGTTATCAAAAGTGCTGGGCGAATTGGGAAATGACAACATTCCTTCCGACTGATGAAATCTTTATCATTAAGACCACCCTACATTCTTGTAAGACAACCGCGCCCAAACTAACCTACTGTCCAAAAATAATTTGACAATTTAGACAAGGCAAATGATTCGTTAAGCACGCGTGTATTTATATTTCAACCCGATGTTAACTTTAACCTGCTGACAGACCCACGGCATATTTCTGTGGTCAGATGTCAGCGACTGGCGACCGCTCAGTTTTGTTTATAAGTATGCAGAAGTATCCCTTATCTAATCATTGCTTAAAGCAACACATAAACAACACGTTGTTAAACCATAGCAATGTCCTTGTAAGTAATAAATTTATTTGAATTAGATGAAATATATTTTGATAAATTAATATTCAAACCGAACAATGACTTATTACGACATTTAGTTAGATATAGATCATACACCATGATATAAAGAACACAGTATTGGGATTAATACGTTTTCATCAATTATGTTTTCAAAATGGACATCTAAGGATTTACGGAAATTTTTCAAAATATCATTCATGACTTTTATTTGGAAGCCTGTAGAGTGTCAGCGCGCCACAAGAGATTCCAGTGTATGGTGTATGGATACTTGCTGCGGGAGACCACGTATCTTTATCAATATCATACACCTCAACGCTACTCAAGCGTGCACCGCGGTTCCAGCTATAACCACCCACAACGTAAATCTTGCTGCCAAGCAACGCACAACCAGCTTCGGCGCGTGGTTCTTGCATGGACGATAACGTGCACCACGTGTCTGTCACGGGTGTGTAACGCTCTATGCAGCTCACGCACGTTACGTTCCCCGAGGGGTCCAGTGTAGCTCCCCCCACCAGGAATAAGTGATTAGCCCACGGCACCAACATCGCAAAAAACCGAGGGGTGCTCAGAGAGCGCCGGATTTCCCAGTTGTCAGTCAGGGGGTTGTACCGTTCTACCCTGCTGGAAATAAGGCGATCACCTGGATTTTCGAAATAAATTAGAATATTTAAAAAGGGAAGGTACATAAACAGATCAGAGGAATAAAAATACGCATGAATGTGGGAAAGAGTGATTGTTTTAATTTTTGTTTCTGAACTATTGTATTAGTCAGAACTGAAGATACATCATCATAAAACACATATACTATACACGAGAAATCTTGTGAAGAGTGCGAGTAATTTGATAAAATTCCATGGGTAAAAGGGGTATATCTGACAAATAAAAAAAAAAAACATCTTAATTAGATACCGTACTTTTAGACATACGCAAACCTATCACATGAGGTACTAATTGTTCACACAAATTGTTAGAAAGATAGGTATAATTAGAAATATAAGTAAAATGCTTGCGGTCTTTATCATAATTATTATTATCAAAATGTAAAGACCTAAATGGTTGCTATAAGATTTTAAGTCAATGTATATTTTCAAGATATCAAGTATATGAGTTGCTTAGCCTGAAAGAAAATGAGCTCTTAGGGGAATAATACTTTTCACCAGGTCGTTGATTTAGCTGAAATAAAATTTAAACCCGCACTATATGATAATGGACCAAATTTGAAAATACGATGGAATACGCAAAAGACCAATAGACCTTATTCACTGTATGTAAGTGTATTTCAAGAAAAACTTGTCTAGATCTAGGCCCAGCCCCGGTATTTTTCACATTAATTCGTATGAAACCCATGGCACGTAAATCGTTATTATTTACAAGTGCGGTCATCAACTGTCAAGTTGCTTCACGCGGATAAGGTTTACAACAAAAAGTAAGTCGAAAATGAGATAAAAAAGAGGATAGAAATGAAGAGACATCTGATACTTACCTGAGCCTCCCATTGCATACAAGCGTCCGTTCAACGATGCCACTGCCGCGCTGCGTCTTGGGGTACTAAGGGGAGTGATAGGCTCCCACTCATCAACGGCCGGGTTGTAACGCTCCACATCAGCGAGGGAACTTTTCTGATTTACACGACCACCTGAAAAAATTTACCCGACCATCTTAAATGCTAAGGCTCAACATTACACTACTAACAGACACATTTTATCGCAAGTTGTGACTTATAACTAGGGTCCTAGCTTATAACTACGCACGGTACTGTCTACGTCCTTTTTACACAGAACGAGCACTACAACGGCCTGTCATCTCTGCCTCTTATTACTTGCCAAATCTATGTGTCACCGAAACAGTTCCATTTGACACTAGAAAATTCACTGTGTTATCGAGTGTGTAAACGTGCAAGACCAACCTTTTCCTGTCACTAGATATGACACCTGTCCGTTCAAGGTGTGCACAAAATTGGCATCTGTTTGGTTTTGACCAGTTTTACTGGCATGTAGGAACTGACTTTTCTAAAACTTTTTGAATATGTCATTTGCATTAAATAAGTAAACTAAAAAAAAACACAGGTTTCAAATTTATTTTGATGGATAACTCATCTGTATTGATATTTATTTAATGTTGAAATAGAGAAATGTTATTCTCGCATGACTCGGCAAAAGTTTTTTCGTGTAAATTTATTGGCAGAAAGTACTGCAGACTTATAGCTAAATCCATTTCTATAGTAATGAAACCATACTCCAAGTAGCTTCTTCGAAAACACGCATACACATACACATACACAAAAAAGTGTCTCCTTTTTCAGATGTGCCAATCAAACGATCATTCATCTAAGGAAGTAAATATTTCCATATTACGGCTGCAAGGCAGTAGTGAGGTGGCAGCAACTGTTGCTTGAATTGAGTGCGTCAATAAGTTACTAATTAACAGCTGCCTGACAACTTAGCATCAGGTGTTGCCTAAATAGGCTGGATTGTTAACGAGTTATACAATATCAGTATAATGGCTTCTGTATAAAATACAAAGGTCTCAAATTTAGGTATGAAAATACCTAGGCTTCCTTAATCTAATTATTATTTCCTTATCAAATGTCAACAGTAAATTCAACTTTCCACTGGATTTGTTAGACCCAATTCCCATACTTAGATCGATCCCCTCGGAGATGGGCCGATCCTGCTAGATCGATCTAGGTAGATTCAATAATTCAGTAATGCATTTGGACGTCAATAGTCTCTTTCAAAACGCTCTGATCCCACATGACATCTTGTAAAACTTGAAAGCAGATGAATGAAAAAAAGTTTAATTTTCTTTCTCGCTCGGACACACACGCCAATAATCACACGGAGAGAGGGAGAGAGAGAGAGAACTTACCAACTGCGTAAATCAATCCGTTCAGTACACCCAACTGAAAGCTCTCTCGGCAATGTTTCATGGAGGCAATTTGTAGCCAAGTATCTGTACGTGGGTCATAGCGGTGAGCGGTGTTCAGGGGGGTCTCCTGCCCGTTCGTTTTTTCACCGCCGGCTACGTACAGGAATCCACTAAGAACAGCAACTGTAGGAGAAAGAAAACTAAAACCTATAGAAAAAAGGTAGTGAAGGGAATTCCAATTGCACCAATTGCAAGAAATATGAAAAACTCAGGGAATGAAATTGTATGTTTTCTGTGTCACCACTCGTGTCGGATATGATTTTTAAATATAAGCCATGCGTTGTATACACGGAACATGGACTTTTATGACTCTACAAACAAAATTTACAGAAATAAGAAAATAACTTCACTATGATTATGGTAAAACGTTAAATAGCTCAAAAGACGTAGAATTTCTTTCATTGAAAGACCACAAAACAAATTTAAGCTTTGTGACGTTAAAATTTTTACAAATAAAAAAGAAGAATTTCTTATTTAAACATTAGAATACTGGGGGTAAAGAGGAAAACTGTTGTTGAAATAGAATCTGAGTAAAATTCAGTGACCAGTTTTTGATAGTAACACTAAATTTGATATTAAAGAATGGTCAATTTTTCTAGAGTTTGCAATCAAATTACGTCTCTTCCCCTTTAGTTTTTAACCTCGTCATTTTCGCTCCCAAACCGCTTAGTATAAAAACATATTATTTAAATGGTCTTCAACGAATTTGGAATGAATTAATGTGCAAACTACCTCCGTAGCGTGAAAAACTATGAAACTACAGAATGCATATATACAATAGTGATATGTTAAAATGTACGTCAAATACATGTAAAAACTGGGGAACTACGGTTATGGTGTTACATTTAATCTTTATATACCATCAATTTGCATTTTAGAAAATGACAAATAGTGAGAAAACCCCAACCGCATTTTGACACAGAATCCCAAATACTAACAATTTTTCTTATTCTTATTCAGCGACCATAAAAGAGCATTGACATTTTGTCGTCCAAATTTAGAAAGCATATGTCATATTATTCTGTATGCATATGTGACCAGTTGGGTATCCCCTGTCACAGAATGAAACTCTAAGGTGCTAGATTTTGTGTTTAAACGAGTGCAGAGGTGGGGTGTAGCATTCTCCAGAATCAAGTATCTGTGAGCATAATGTGTGTGAGGAATTTATTACCTACGCCACCACTCGTGTCGGATATGATTTTTAAATATAAGCCATGCGTTGTATACACGGAACATGGACTTTTATGACTCTACAAACAAAATTTACAGAAATAAGAAAATAACTTCACTATGATTATGGTAAAACGTTAAATAGCTCAAAAGACGTAGAATTTCTTTCATTGAAAGACCACAAAACAAATTTAAGCTTTGTGACGTTAAAATTTTTACAAATAAAAAAGAAGAATTTCTTATTTAAACATTAGAATACTGGGGGTAAAGAGGAAAACTGTTGTTGAAATAGAATCTGAGTAAAATTCAGTGACCAGTTTTTGATAGTAACACTAAATTTGATATTAAAGAATGGTCAATTTTTCTAGAGTTTGCAATCAAATTACGTCTCTTCCCCTTTAGTTTTTAACCTCGTCATTTTCGCTCCCAAACCGCTTAGTATAAAAACATATTATTTAAATGGTCTTCAACGAATTTGGAATGAATTAATGTGCAAACTACCTCCGTAGCGTGAAAAACTATGAAACTACAGAATGCATATATACAATAGTGATATGTTAAAATGTACGTCAAATACATGTAAAAACTGGGGAACTACGGTTATGGTGTTACATTTAATCTTTATATACCATCAATTTGCATTTTAGAAAATGACAAATAGTGAGAAAACCCCAACCGCATTTTGACACAGAATCCCAAATACTAACAATTTTTCTTATTCTTATTCAGCGACCATAAAAGAGCATTGACATTTTGTCGTCCAAATTTAGAAAGCATATGTCATATTATTCTGTATGCATATGTGACCAGTTGGGTATCCCCTGTCACAGAATGAAACTCTAAGGTGCTAGATTTTGTGTTTAAACGAGTGCAGAGGTGGGGTGTAGCATTCTCCAGAATCAAGTATCTGTGAGCATAATGTGTGTGAGGAATTTATTACCTACGCCAAGGAGGTTATATTTTCATCTCCGTTTGTTTGTTTGCTTGTCTGTTAGTCACCAGCCTTATTTTAAATAGTTATGGATGGATTATGGTTAGATTTACAGGAAAGGTCAGTAATGGGCTGTTTTAAAAGTGTTTAGATTATGGCAATGGTCCATAAATTAACAATTGGCTAATTATTAGTTACAGTGTATTACTTATCTTGGCGAAGGTCTGCACTCTCTCTTTCTAGTTACTGTTAGACGATAACCCTAAGGTTGTTGGTCGGAGGTTTATAATTGATTCTTGGTATAATTCTATTTCTAGGAACAAATTTCCAATATCCTGTTCACACATATTTCTTTTCGTATTTTCTATTCAGATTGAAAGTAGTCACACAGCAAAATAAATAAATAAATAAATAAATGAATAAATAAATAAATAAAACGACTGAATATGTATAAATTAACGGCTCAAAAACAAACAAACGAATAATGTACGTATTTATCAGAAAAAGCCTGGTTTATTGTTACGAAGACTGTGGCCATACGATGGATTACTACATCTGTAATATTCAGAGATATTGATGAGGTGTTAATCAAAGACGTCCATGTCTTCATAACGGAGACGTTTATGAAACAAATCAGTGTCTTTTTTACATGTGTCTAACAGACGCCCTGCTAGATGCCAGAGGCAGGCAGACGTCATGCTTGAACGTCCAATAAAACCTCAATGAAAGGTCTTTAAATAATGCTATATTTTATGCAATATTTTTGTGTGTTTCTAGGAGACACATTTTAATGGTTTGAAAGACTCCTTGGTCATATTTTCTCTGTATTATGCAGCAATATGCATTGTAAGTTTGGGGCTCGGTGAAAAAAGGTGTACAATCAGTTGTGTAAGAAAACCTACTGGAGTTCAGGTTTCAGCATGACCAATTGAGGTTTTCTTCCAATAATTTATCACTTTTTCCCAATAAATATTTCTCTTTTTTTCTAATTTTGGTAAAACGTCTCACTTCCGTATTTTTTGCGTGGGACTAAAACTCCAAAACTGAGACACACGTACGATTAGACAGAGATGGGATATTTCTATTTTTTGACAACAAGAGCACAAACCTTCTTAGAATAATATCAAGTGCGTCCTTTAAGAAATAACACCACGTTCTTGTACAGGACACATATGAAAGCATATACCAATATACACATATTACTTAGTACAAACACAGTATTCAAATACTTCTAAATTTCAGCACGAAAGTTTATGCAACATACTAGAGGAATAGGTATTAGAAGTAGAGCCAGGAAATAGAAAATGAAAAGAAATAGAAAGAAAAATGTCGTAGGTGTGGAATGGAAATGAAACTTACGGTGATACATCCATAAATTTTCCTGTGATATTGAAAGACCACAAAGGAAAACCTTGGAATAAAATCCCTAATATCGTTTTGGTTTTCCCGCGTCACTCGTGGCCTTTTGCAGATAGATAGACGGCCAGAGGTGCAGGGGGTGAGTAAAGAAGTAAATGAGTAGATACAAGAATAGATGATTGGATGAATGAATGACAGGCAAAACACAGACATTCAAATTAAATATTAACAAACGAGAACAACGAATAAACAAATACGCGAATAGATAGAGAAAGCTGAATAAAGACTTTCGTGAAACATATCAAGACATACAAACGGGATTGCACAAGATGCCTTTACGCCAAACAATTTCCCAGTTTATGCACCAACTGACCCTGAATTTTCGTAAAAGCTTACCACATCAGTTATTACTGTTACAGCTTATCTGTCCAGATAACAGTTGTGCTCATCCCTCATCAAACAGTGGCTTTATAGTCCACAGTGACAGTGTAGTTTACCGCTTTGATCTTAACCCCCGCCCACTTCTGCGTAACGTTTGTTCGTTTTGGCACGAAAGACTGCTAAGGTTTAAATTCGAGGCATATTACAAGGCACAGGATTGTCCAAATGAATTGCAAATTTCTCCCCACAAACATTATCTTTCACAGTATCAAACGGAAAGACACTGTCGTACAAAGAAGTCAATATATCAATGTTGTAGGCACTATACATAAGACAAAAATAAATACTACGCCTTATTTCAAAGCTACATATGTCCAAATATGTAATCTGCAGCTTTTGGTTTATGTGCGTTAATAATTAGAGGGCAGAAGCGTCAGATATCATGTCAATTTAAATGAATGAACATGAGTAAAACAGCGCATCTAATGTAACATTGTATCTTAAAGACATCGTTTAAAAAGTAAACGATTTTCTTTCTTTTTCAATCATTAGTCTACAGGTGACTTTTAAAATAACCCATTTGTGATTTTCCAACAAATCGAATTTTACGCGATTTTCTCTTACTCACGAAGCAATGCTCGGCCTGTAACTATTTAAGGTACCGCACACGGTCTGTGCCCTGAATACCCCACGGCGTAATTACGGGCAGTGCTCATCGCTGGCTCATCGCTCAACGCTGGCAGTATGCCTTTAAGTTGAGAAACATTTTAGGTCCAAAAACACCGTATTTTCTATATTGTTATTGTTTTTTTTTTTTTTGTTCGTGCATCGAGACGTACATCTCATTAAAAGCGCTTTAAAAGAGCAACACTTCATGTCGCGAGACAGNTCCTGTGATATTGAAAGACCACAAAGCAAAACCTTGGAATAAAATCCCTAATATCGTTTTGGTTTTCCCGCGTCACTCGTGGCCTTCTGCAGATAGATAGACGGCCAGAGGTGCAGGGGGTGAGTAAAGAAGTAAATGAGTAGATACAAGAATAGATGATTGGATGAATGAATGACAGGCAAAACACAGACATTCAAATTAAATATTAACAAACGAGAACAACGAATAAACAAATACGCGAATAGATAGAGAAAGCTGAATAAAGACTTTCGTGAAACATATCAAGACATACAAACGGGATTGCACAAGATGCCTTTACGCCAAACAATTTCCCAGTTTATGCACCAACTGACCCCGAATTTTCGTAAAAGCTTACCACATCAGTTATTACTGTTACAGCTTATCTGTCCAGATAACAGTTGTGCTCATCCCTCATCAAACAGTGGCTTTATAGTCCACAGTGACAGTGTAGTTTACCGCTTTGATCTTAACCCCCGCCCACTTCTGCGTAACGTTTGTTCGTTTTGGCACGAAAGACTGCTAAGGTTTAAATTCGAGGCATATTACAAGGCACAGGATTGTCCAAATGAATTGCAAATTTCTCCCCACAAACATTATCTTTCACAGTATCAAACGGAAAAACACTGTCGGACAAAGAAGTCAATATATCAATGTTGTAGGCACTATACATAAGACAAAAATAAATACTACGCCTTATTTCAAAGCTACATATGTCCAAATATGTAATCTGCAGCTTTTGGTTTATGTGCGTTAATAATTAGAGGGCAGAAGCGTCAGATATCATGTCAATTTAAATGAATGAACATGAGTAAAACAGCGCATCTAATGTAACATTGTATCTTAAAGACATCGTTTAAAAAGTAAACGATTTTCTTTCTTTTTCAATCATTAGTCTACAGGTGACTTTTAAAATAACCCATTTGTGATTTTCCAACAAATCGAATTTTACGCGATTTTCTCTTACTCACGAAGCAATGCTCGGCCTGTAACTATTTAAGGTACCGCACACGGTCTGTGCCCTGAATACCCCACGGCGTAATTACGGGCAGTGCGAGCCAGTTACTTCCAAAGCTGTAATTGATTCTCGGCGCTGCCAGTAATTACGCCGTGGGGTATTCAGGGCACAGACCATGATCACAAGATACCGCAAATAGATTTTTAGAAAATAGATTTTTCATGTGAACGCAGCCTTAACCACATCGGCGTGAAGCCCAGCTCATGCAGAGCGGATACAGTGTCATCAGCACGCGTGCAGATTTAATTTCTTCCATGTGGTGAAAAGTCACAGGGTCACGTCAGAGAAAAGTTCACATAATGAAATATGCGACCTTGGTATAGGGTGGTGATTATACGAGTACGTTGGAAAAAAGAGCAGGCATGTTAGTCTGTTAATCTGATTGCTCTCAAACAGGGTCTCCNCTGATTGCTTTCAAACAGGGTCTCAGTGGAGTAAGTGGGCATTAATTAGGCCGAAGAAATTATTTGCGAATGGTCCTTAATATCATTTCAAAATAAACAATAAAGTTCTGAATGATTGGTCAGCCACGTAGACGTGGAAAATATGACACTGGGACAACGCTGGCAGTATGCCTTTAAGTTGAGAAACATTTTAGGTCCAAAAACACCGTATTTTCTATATTGTTATTGTTTTTTTGTTCGTGCATCGAGACGTACATCTCATTAAAAGCGCTTTAAAAGAGCAACACTTCATGTCGCGAGACAGAGCGAAAGCTGTAAATACATAGACAAAATAAGTCACCAGACAGATGCTTAAATATTCAAGATATGGTGATCAGTGACCAAGTCACTCAGTTGTGACCAATTCTGTCAGAGTGAACAGACGAAACAGTCAACAGGTAAATCAAAATTTCAGGATCTACATGTATCATAAATGAAAACTTTCTGACTTCAAGTAAGGGAGTTTAAATAAATACATTTAAAATCATTATTTAACGGATTATATATATATATATATATATATATATATATATATATATATATATATATATATATATGAGTTACAAGTACAAACAATAAAACACAAAGAGATTCGCATTGAAGTCAAACGGATAATTAACAATTCAAAGTTTTTTTGAGAAAAAAACTGATGACGAGTAAGGAGATGGGACAGGGTGTGTTTTTAAAACAACAGTGTACCCAATGTACTACTATTACTTGTTTGTAACATGTTGTTACCGAAGAAAAGTACATAAATACACGCAATTTAACAGTCGTCTTTTAATCATGCTCCGGCATTTCTGATCTATCAAAGGCGTAACGTAGGTGGTTGATTGACGATCGCATGCCAATATAATGTAGGCTAAGCGTGAGAAGTGAATAAACCTTTAGCAATTAAAACTAACCATAAGATTATCCCCGAGTTCCACCGCTTAAAACAGTCAATCATCCAAATCTACTTATATGACAATAGGAAAGGGTTTCTGTGGCTTTGCCAGAAAAAAAACGATTTTTCATATTTCAAGGAGGGAAGCCATGCATTCCCACATTAATTCCGTTTCATAAGTGCAAGTCATCTCTGCTGATCTCCAGGGAAGTTATCTTTGGTCAGGAACGAACTGTATGCCATCGAAAACTTGTTGTGACTCGAAAGTTGAAATCAATTATACTTTTGGTATGCGCTAAATCATGTTTTCTTTCTAAAGAACGTATCTTACCTGCATGGTGGTGTCTTGGCTCCTTAAGATTGGTTAAGGTTCTCCATTCATCAGTCTGTGAATTGTAAAACAGTACCTGGGAACTCACTGGGTCTGTTTTCAAGCGAGGTGCACCGCCCACAGCTAACACGCTTTCCAAAATGAAATTTGAGCGAGGCTTTGTCCTGGACGACTTTTAAAAAGCAAAATACATATAGTCACGACTAAAAGCAAATTTATTTCCGTTTGATGCTTTTTTCGTGTATATCTGTTCCAGCGTTCTTTTAAATTTGGCTCACATTATATAGTTGGAGAAAAGTTGATACACAAAGAGATTTGGACGAAGCAAAAGAAAATGTGAAATAAATAAAGACGGGACAACAACAGAACAATTTTTCTTGTGAGTCAAAATAATGCGTGCTATGTAATTTATCATCATTGCATATCTTGAATATGTGAAAATGATATCCAAAACGGGACTAGACACAATGTTTTGAATGAATGAATGGCAAATGTCGTATTGAGCAAAAATTCAGAATCCGAATCGTTGTCAAAATCCATTTCATACAGTTAAGAAGTTTTAAAACATTTACTCATTTATCTTTTGAGATACAGAGATTTCAAAGTAATGCAGAAAACAAAACCGACAGAGACACGAATAATATAAATAGGAAAAGCAGGAATAGTATAAATAGGAAAAAGTGAATTGTCTTGGTTCATAATTTACAAAAGAAATAAATCTGAAAGATGAAATGAGGTACCTGTAGTATACTCTGACGGGCAGGCAAGCAATGGTAATGCAGGGCTTCCTTCACGAGTTCTTGACACCCAGGGATCTCCATTAGATACCCTACAGTTTCCACGTGGTCCACTATATCAGAAACATCTATGAGGGGAAGGCGAATTTGACGCAAAAGTTCCAAAGCGTGTTGTTTTCTTTCGTTTAAATCGACTTCAATCCACTCTAAAGCTCGATTGAAGGCATCGAGTTCGCAATCCACCTTCAGTCCATCTTGCGCTAAAAGAGCCTTCACGTGCGATACTTCAAGCTGGCGAAAATCTTGAGTAATTGCAATGTCAGTAAAATTTTCAGCAGCTATTTTTAAAGCTTTGTCAATTAAATCTCTTAAATTATACGTATAAGCCATTTTCAACATACGAAGGCAGTTTTCACTATTAAGTCGATCGGACAAATATACACCGCAGGCTTCTTGAACTGCATAAAATTTCAAATAGTCAGCAGCTGTCAGCAGATCTAGGACGTTACTGTCATTGATAGATATTCGACCCGTGTACATGCAGGTTACTAAATCTTTCAGTGTACTGACGCTTATACCAGAAAGCCTTACTTGCACTTGTTCGTCGACATACATAGTTTCGCGGGAAAATAAATCGTGAAAATAATCACAACTTGAAACTAAGACAAGTCTGTGGACTAAAATTCTCTCTGAGGTGTCTGCTAATAAAGACACATCGCACATAGATTCCTGTTTCCACAAGCATTCAAGACTATGAAGGATGTGAGTTGCGTGGTTTTCCAATACTTTACACTGCACCTCATCATTTGAACTAAGGCTTTCTTTTCTGTTCAAATATGTTCGGCTATAAGTCGAACCTTTGTGAAATAGACGAGAATGCTTTGCGGACGGTTTGGGAATTTTAGATTTTCTTCTATCTGGATGAAGCTGTAAGCGACTTTTCTCACCTTCGCCCCTCTCCATCAGTTTCCAATTCCTTATGAAAAAGTAAGAACTGTTGCCATTATTGTCTTCGAAGTTGAAAGCCGCGCAAAGGATATCGGGAAGGTAATAGAAACTTTATGCGCATCAATACTTGCGCAGTTTCTGTAGCAACAGTGCCGCCATATTGTTATAAATATTAGTAGGCTTTATTTAGCATACAGGGTATTATTTTCACATTAAATGGAAAGAAGTTAATATCATTCTTAAAATTATATCAGATATGTCGACCTTAAATCAAGGAAGAAATGAGATAAGATTTAATAACTCGGGGGGTCGCTGTTTACTAGAAAATTGGGTCGAAGAGGTGAGTTTTGTAGTTAAATGTTTTTATTTACAATGACATTACTGTCATGAGGCAAGAAAGTTGAGCCGGAGTGTCACAGTCACCACTGATTGAACACATTGAGCTTGTCAGTTTAGATATTGTTCATTCCTCTGAGATTTATTTTCTTTTATTTTTCGAGAATGATGTGAGTGACAGTAACCAGGGAGGACAGTTATGTTGGTTTAAGAAGCTCTCTAGATAACACTAACAGATATAAAACTAAAGTGATTTTTGTTACTATGCATATAATGTTGAAAGTGGATATTTGACTTGCATTATATACCTAATGACAATACATATAACAGATCTTAACATTTTTAGAGAAATGTAGCCCATTTAGACCCTGCTGGTGGCGGTGCAGATGTCACAAGTTTAGCACAAGTATTCAAACATGGTCATAATGGGGTGCTTTCTACAGAGTTTGATGCCAAAGCAGAAAACCTTACCACTGTACGAGAGTCATACAGGCCACCAACCAAACCAGGAGTCAGACAAGTTGGTGAGTGGTGTAGTCACTTTCCGCTTGATATGAGCAAGACATTCTGATTGATCACATAATTTTCTTGACTAGTTATTTGTTTAATATTATATTGAAAACTTAAACTTACATCTGCCTTTAAAAAAGCTGTTTATATAGTGTTTTCTATCATCAATCCACTTATTATCATTTTGCATTTGCAGGAAAGAAACATGAACTATTAGAACAAATGTTTTTTGAACAAGTGAGGTAGGTTACTTGGATATAATTAGTAAACATCAAAACATTTAAGCAAAATGAATACACATTTAGCAACCATTAATTCATAGGTTATATAATGTCTTATGGTTTTCTTTACTTCGCTGTATGGCATGTAATTTTAGTATATTTAACACACACAGTTCTTTAATAACTTATTAAAACACCATTTATCCATAAAACAAAAGTGACATTTATGTCACAGAGGTGTTTCTTAAAGCATTAATTTACTGTCCTTTGAAACTCCAGCAAAGAGGTCCATGAAGATTTCAACCCACCTCCTCCGCAGCCTGATTATCTGTCAGTGACAACAAAGGATTTTTCTAAGGAATTTGAATCTATAAAACCAGCACCTACACAGGTAGGCACATGTATATTCATGATAAAAGATGTGGCAGTGTTTTTTAGATTTGCTGTATAGCTCAGTGCATTTATGCATATTAAATCCTTGACTTTCTGAATCGCCACATAATTTAGAATTGAAAACATTAAATTGTGAGAAAATTAACACTATGTAATTTTGTAACTTAAAGGCATAGGTGGCACCAATTCCAATTTTTTGCCCACTTTGCTTTAAGAGTCATTGTAAAAAAAAGTTATATAGCATGTTATTTAGGAACCAGCCACAAATCTAAATCACCAGTGAGATTTCAGATATTTAAAGATGATTATTGTAAAATGGTGTGTCTTTTATATTAATTGTGATCCCATTATTCCAGCCACATGACTTGACCAGAGAACAGCCAGTGACATTCTGGACAGAACATGTAGACAAACTTCATGTAAGTAGTCACTGCAGTAGAAGGACAGTATTTTAAGGAAAATATTGTTTTGGATTGTGTTAGGTGTGCAACAACTTGATCTCATATTTTGTCTACAGTTTCAAACAACATGAATCAAATTACGTAATTGTGAAGTTTTGCTGATTTGATACCTGTGTGCTATTTGGATTTTTGCATCATTTATCATTCATTGTTATTTTTGCTATAACGTTATTTTCATAATTTTTTTAAAAAAGCTTGTAGCTATTGTATTTAAAAAACCAACATTCTGTCATATCGAAAAATGATATGAAAGACAATTGCATATCCCATTTTTTCACTTCCAGGGAGTATCACAAATCAAAACAAAAGACACACCATTTAGGAAAAATGCAGCTTTTAGTAAGCCTATTGACGAATACATGGACCAGCCACAGCCATATGAACTAGAAAACTATCCAAAGATGTGAAAATTCTTTGTCAGACTGAAGTGACCAGGATTACCAAAAATAATTTTATGGCATCATAAATATGGAACATGGACAGAGATGATATCAGATGATGACAATCCTATTTTAGTTTGTCATAAAAATATTTCTAAGTTGGTTTCTGCATATTGTATTTTGTTATCTACAATGAGAGGCGGTTAAAGATTTATTCACTGAATGCTTTTTGAAACTTTTTTGTATGCAACTTGTACTGTAACAGTATCCAGATAAACTAAAAGCTATCAAAGCAATGGAGTGCATTAATTTTAACGGGCATTTATGTCTATGTGATTCAAATATTTTGTGACAGGCTCAACTTTAGGCTGTGTATTGCATAACCTGTAACTTTTTTTGCCTGTCAAGCATGTATGAATGAATTATTTATTGATGGACACAAGAAATATATATACAACTATTTTTTCAATATAAACATTTTCTTTCACTGTTTGTGCTGATGGACTTGATACTCTTTGCATATTGACTGAAATCTAAATGTTGCTATTTGAACAGACCAAATTCAATTGTGAAAAAAAACCCAGCGTCATTTGAAATATTCATATTATTAATCATAATTCAATCAAAATTTTGATTCCAAATAATCTTTGGATATGTGTTTAGAGTTAATATTTTACTCTGAGCTTACCCATTTTCATTTGTCACTTGGCATAAGAAGGCATCCTTTGGGCAGAGAATGTTCCCTACTTTCCATTGTCATTGAGTCCACAATGTCGCTGTTTGTAATTACGGTATATTTTTATTCCCTTTCACTTTGCTTGATGTTTTTTTTTTTTTTAACTTGATTTTTTTTAAAATACATTTTAATATGGGAAACACTTGATTTTTTCATATTTATCAAAGGGTAGGCCTTCACCTTAGTTGAAATTTTCGTTGACAATCAATTTATTCTTTTGTTTTATCCTGTCTTTATAAACATAAATTGGAGTTTAAATCCGTTAGTAGGATCAATCATCTGAGTAAGGGACGGATGATTTACACTGAAGTATATACCATATCAAAGAAAGTACCATGGCCAATTCAAGTATTAAAAATCATTTTGTCATATACCATCTTACTCTTTATGGTCGTGTGATTATTTTCAAGTAGCAACATAAAATTGTCACGGTAACATTTATAGATAACCCTGTATTTTCAAAACACATCAGCCACCTTTTAAAGTTTAGTTTTTTTTTTAAGCTTTCAAAACAAAAAACGACCTAAGATTTGTCGTTGATATCGGTCGCTGTCTCGTCAGAGGTTACTTTCTTTGCACAAAATAGCTTATGGCAATCAAATCTCTGTACCTGTAAGCAACCCCATAGTCCTTATCCCTGTACAAACAAACTTAAACTTTCTTATTAATATGAATACATGGTTCTGTTCTTATTTTGAAACGGAATTATAAGGTGTATTACGTATTTGCACTGAAGTTATTCATAAATGCTTACTTGTGTTGGCGGGCACAGGGAAAATACAGGATTTAACCCTGCACTGATATTGGATAAGAACGCATTTATTTCAGTTGAATATGAATTGTTGCATGATTAGGTAACAACAACAAAGCGTAACGCTACCTTACTCGGCTGCTTACTCTTAATGGTGAACGGGAGGCTCAAAAGGCGCTATAGGCAGTTTCGCAGATATGCGCCTCTTGTCGTCTCGCTTCTTTTAGATTAAAAAACCTTTGAACTTAAAAAGGGTCATAGATGTTGAAAACCCCATGTTTCTTTACCCAGATGAGAAATTAACTCCATCTGTAGCATTAGTATGTGAGCTGGTTTCAAAGAAGAGCGCAGAAAATCGATGCTGATTTCCCGTTCAACAATGACTACATTATACAGCCTGTTTCATCGTTATAGAACCAGCTTGGTATATCAATTTGCAAGTATTATAATCTCCTCGAGTATCCGCATTGACATATATCATCCCTATCTACCAGGCATATCACAAATTAAACTAAACCGAAAGCACGAAACAAGCTAAAGATTCATGCCATATAGGTTTACACAAGAGTGCAATTGCCCCTACACCCCCTTATTTATGTTGTGATAAATGAACGGCTCGGCAAACACACCTCTATGAGACCAAGGCAACGCGCCTATTGTGTTCTTTAAGCACCTGCATACAGCTAAGTTCACAAATCTATACAAAAAATACAAATGTATGGAGTCTGATAAAGGTTGGCACTGTATCCAGGTAAGAGTCTAATATTGAACCTAGCTGTTTGACTCTTCCTCCATTAGACTTGTATTTGCAGTAACAGGTTAATTTGTCGCCAGTCTCTACTCTGTTCTGTAAACCTTGTTGACATATCATCCAGAAAAGTAAGTTACAATTTTCGAAGCCTAAGGGCCAGACGACGACTCAGACCCGGTTGTATTGGAGTGAATTATTCGACACCACCTCACCGCAGCCCGAAACTAACCTGTTATCAAACGTTTCAGTGTTAGGATTTGTACGCTACAGGTTAAAGGGTAGGTGCGACTTAAACGTTTCGACGTTAAACATCGTGTCGTCAGGTGACATTGAAAGTGATACGAGAGAGCGAGTGAACTGTGTACTTGTGTCTAAGACTGGAGGAGAGAGGAAAGTACGTGTGTAGTTAACGAGGCATTCATAGAGTAGCGCACTTTCGTCTGGAAAATGACGTGAACTTAGACGATGCACGTCTTAAATCCTTCAAGATATGGACGAAGAATGTGGCGATACAGTAGATAACAAGTAGGGTTGTTCATTTCACTACTTTGTTATATTCATACATTTGCTGATACTGTAGGTAATGGCAGAGGCCATGTTTGCTCGCTATGGGTTAACATCCAACGCTGAAAATGTTGTCACATTACTACAGAAAAAAAAATTAAGTAGTTATGTAATCTTGTAATAATTTGAATAAATCTCACAACGCTGTCTTCTCATTCTCAGTGTTACCATAGGAAACCAAAACATTGCTGATGTATTATATAACACGTTTTCAGTGCACATATATTACTTATAGTTTTTTCACATTGAAGTTGAAAAAGCCTACATGCACCCGGTTGCTGTCGCGATGTAGGTAGATAACTACATAGGAAGAGTGATTTTTCTCTTTGTTTCCCCTTCGTCTCTTTACAGAACACCCCCTGTATCATGCAGTTGTGTTTGAAATGGTATTATGTCCTCTTATTTTTCATTATGTGTCTGTAATGATGTCCATGGTGATGGTAATATTTTGTTGACATTTCAGAAAAAGATGAGGCACAAATGTGGCGATAACACAATTGCCAAGCAATCCAGGTGATAAAACGCAGACAGAAGCAAGGCAGGACTTATTTTTAAAGGTGACAAAAAAGGTAACCGAGAAAATGGCGGATGCAAAGGCGAGAAAAACCTTCGAATTTCGGATGTCAAAGAAAGTGGCTGAACTTACTCAGGTGGTTCACATGCTTTTTACTCGCAATCATGAGAGGGAAGTTGAGATAGAAGCTCTCAAAGATGCATACGAACACGAAATATCCCTTCTTATTAAAGATGCCAAGAGCAGGATAGAGGCAGAAGAAAATAAAGTAAAAGAAATGGAACAAAAAGGAGCCGCTGAAGGCGAAAAATTCAAATCACTTCTTGAAATTGAAATGCGGCAGCGGGAAACTGAACTTCAGAAGAGAATTGAACAAAAGGACAAGCAATTATCTGAAGAGAAACGAGAGTGCCAAAGTTTACGAGACATGCTCATCAATGCTCAAAAAGACATAGAAAATTTGAGACAGGGGGTCACCGATGATCTCAATTCTAAAAAGGATGAACTGATTTTGAAGGAAAGAGAGATAGAAAATTTAAAAAGGACTGTAGGCAATATGGAGAGGAAAATGAAGGAAAAAGAGCGAGAGACAGAGGATATTGTCGCAGAATTAGAAGAAACTAACTCAAAGCTTCTAAAAGAAATTGAACGACTTCGGGAGTTGCTCGAGGAATCTTCAGAATCAAAGGAAGCGCTAACGATTAGGAATAAACAATTGGAAAGTGATTACAGAAATCTCAAAAAAGAACTCGCTAAAAAGTTCAGTGAGATGGCTAATAAGGGTGCTGCAAACAATACGGATTTTGATCCTAAACGAAGTACAAAAAGTCTCAATTATATGGTAAGGAAAGTTGGCACTGCCATAAGAAATTCCTGTAATGCATGTATTATCGACTGATCGTACTAAAATTCAATCATTATATATATATATATATATATATATATATATATATATATATATATATATATCGTCTTGCTAAACATTTTATGGTATTTGACCGTTTCGCAAAGTCTCAATACATCGACACACTTACATAGACTATATGGTTGGTTAATTGGAAGAATCATTCTTGAATTTGCTATTTGTATAGATTTAGTTTATGTTTATCTCGAAATAAAGTTAAATGCTCAATACTTGGAAGATGAGAGAGGTCAGCACCCTTTTAGCAACACCAAGATTAATGTTTTTGTGCTGTACTTTTAAGACGTGCTTTCTTCATTTTTCTCCCTCTTCATGTTTCTTCTTTAATTCTTTGTGTTGAATAGAGTGTAATCTATCGAAAAATCTTTGTATCTTAGCAAGGTTATTTTCACTTTCATCGTGAAGTGCCATTCTGTACTTGCAGGAATACCACGATGAGTTAGAAAGGCTCCGACGAGAGGTGCAGCGCTACAAAATGGAACTCACAAATAGAGAGGGCAATTTTAACCGCATGTTTACTGACAAACAAAATGTGAGGGTGGATGGCAGAGCAGGCCGGTTTTCGATGCAACAACAACAATTTTTCCAGTCAGCAGTCCCAGCTACGGTACCACCTTTCAAAGTGATCCGTGAGAGGACGATAGCTTGTGCCGTTAGTGAGGGATATGACGCTTCTCAGGATGAATTCCAGGTGGGTCATCCCAACTGACATGAAGAAATAACGTGAACTATTTCTAAACATAATGAGAGAGGGGGGGGGGCGGACTGTGTGTGCTTAGCATAAAATACAACTATCCTTAGTCCTCTACGCGTTTTTATATTTGAATAAGGCATCGACTAAGTCTGCGCGTAGGTCTGACTATATTTCTCTAATATGATGAATATGATTCGCTCTAGGTAAACTCATCACGATGTGCCTCTGCAACATCTTCTGGTCGCCGCCTGCCTCCCATGTTAGGAATGGACGCACGAAGCAGACTAAGTAGATTTATTCGCCCAAAACCTCCAGCAAAAGCAATGCTTTCCGGAAAATAACCAAATCAACGAACTTGTGAATCAAAACCTGATTTTCCTCTTCTGAAAACATATATATAGATCAATATTTGTAACAAGAGGAACCAAACGGATAGGTCCTATCCGATGCATAATACAAGTTCAAGAAATACAGCATACATTACACAGCATGTTTTTTAACAACGTTTTTTTCTACCTTCATGTGCAAGTATAAGCTTTTGCTCAAAAGACAGTGTCTCATTTCATATAGTTTTGTCGTATAGTGAGGTATCACATAGCCATGGGTGTGATTGCGACTGGTGTGAAGACATAAGAAGTCACATTCACGTTAAGTCCTCCCTGAGGGATAACAGTTAAGTTTGTCAAACCAATATATATACATTATTGCAAGAGGACAACAACATATATTAGCCATAATAAATGACGATTGCATTCGCTTGCCTTCATTTCTTTCATAATACATGTAGTTAGGTCACCTGCTGACCAACTCATTTCAATCTACAGAGGGAACGTTATTATTTCTATCCTAGTTTCAATCTAGGATCCAACTTAGAATGTTGCATCCTTATTTCAATTTTGTTTTCTTCGGGTATCAGGTTCTATCTCCCTTCATTTGGAGTATTTTGACTGACGTTATCTTAATTTGTCCACCCGTTTCTGCCCTTCCAACCTTGTCCTGCATCAAGCAGTGACTCATGTATCAAAGACTAAGGACTACTAAAAAAATTGACAGCAAATGACAAATATGTTATTTAGCTGAAACGAAAAAAAATAAAAAAAAGAAACAGAGGCAGATGCCCAAAATCTTTTTGATAGTTATGATTATCATAAAAATGTTATTATCATTATGATGATTATCACAGTTATCAATATTTAAAAAAAATATTTACTGATACTACGAAAAGCAAGTAGCCCTTCACAAATATGTGAGGTTTAGGGGGTGGTTTGGTGTGTGGGGCATACTCTTCCAAAAAAAAAATTGTACAATTTGTGGTGCTGTGAAGGAGTAAAGTTTGAAAATTAATACTTGTTGCATCGGGCCCAAGCTCGGTCCAAATAGTTCGTTCTGAATCAAAATTTGGTCTACTAGTAGGTTCTATGCCAATTTCCAGTTGGATCGATTGATAGGCAGTTTAAAGGTTTATACTTTTCCGAAAAGAACTTCTCCTTTGAAACTGCTTTGAAACACCTATTTCGCGCAAGTTAAACGGAAAAGAAATACAAAAAGAATTGCCTCCCCGACGGGGAATCGAACCCCGGTCTCCCGCGTGACAGGCGGGGATACTTACCACTATACTATCGAGGACTGGCTAATTCCTTACAGTTATTTGTAGTAACTTATACTTTTGTCAGGATGCTTTTTAACAAAAAGATCATTTTCACATCTAAACTTTATTAATTTATATCCCTTAATATATATACGTTTTTTTATATATTTTTCTGTCTTCATAACTCAATTCCAATGCCCTTTAAGCCCTTTATGATTTGACGTGACTTGCATTACTTTTAATGACGTTATTTGCATAAAGGAGATACTATCAGTGAGCATAAGTTGAAATATTCTCTTTTGTTTTTTGTTCCAAGAAAGCATTGAAGTAGGGTTTTTTATGACGAAGCAAAATATTCCTTGCGTCAGTGATTTGTAAAACCATAAATTTGGCAATTTATAGGGTGTTTCCCTGACTTCTATTTTTAGATTAATAAAAGTTCTACATCTGTCCAATGAAATTATCAAATGGAAACGAGGTCACAGACTCTCTGCATAACTCCGCCCTCCATAATACTTACACGCGCAGCGCCATGAAAACGTATGCATTAAATCAAGCTCGTAACTATGGCATATTAGGATTGTTCGGTTAAAGTAAGAGACAAGAAACTGTGAGTATTATGTGATCCGCTTATAATCTGTCTATAACGCCATATTTTAAGCGCGTTCAACAAAATTAAAAAGGAAAACTTGACTTTCAACTACTCTCTTTGTCTGGAACAAAGAGGGCGTGTGTAGACTTGTTGAACTTGAGTTTGCTTACAGTAGCAGATTTTACTTACATGCGAGATGGAGGGGCAGGATTTAGTGGCAGCAGAGTGCTTAGTGGCCATGTCGAATTCTCTTGCCAAGAATTTGGCAATCAAAGAAAGCAGTAGTGACGAAAGTGACTTTCAGGACAGTGATACATCGCCAGCGTTTCGTCCCTCCTCATGTTCGGAGCACGCAACAGCTGATCGAGACAAACGTGACCCCTCTTTGTTTATGGTGGCGAGGATCCTTGCAGATCTTAATAAAGTTCGTCAGACAACCCCAAGCCCAGTGGATCACGGTTATGAAAGTGATGAAATGAACCAAATGGACATGTCACCAGAAAGTCCGACAGGTCTTTTCGTTGATATCCCAAATGACCACCAATCTATGATCAAATCCGTTCACAAGGGTAACAAGCGGAGAGCGGTGTCTATGTCCCCAGTTTCAGATTTAGATGACTCCAGTAGCACATGTTCCAGACCTAAGAAGAAGGCAAAGAGAGGACAGCAACATAACCAGGGGAAGAGACTTCATAAATGTACATTCAGGGGGTGTGAGAAAGCATATGGGAAGAGTTCTCACCTGAAAGCACACTTGAGGACACACACAGGTGAGGGGTTTTACTTAAACTCTATTAAAATACTACAGCCTTAGTGTAACTATGACATCACTTAAATACTTGACTGTTTTAATGTCTGTCTATCATATATAGAAGGTGTAAATAGTTGCATGGAACCTGTATTTCCATGCAAGATATCTGCAACACTTCAAGATATTGCACAAGCAAATAGAAATACTTTCATGAGAGAAGTTATCTAACATCTGTCTGTCCCACCCTCAAATTAAAACACTATAAACATAAAATATATGCTAAAGTCAAAGGGATATCTTACGCAAATGTGTGTTTGAAACTGGTTAGACACCATATGAACTTAACGCATCGTTTCATGAAGTACTGTTAGTGAGATGCATAGTGTTGTATGAAACAGGTTTAATTGTAAGGTCTTACATGTTGTGTGTTTGTAAGTTGGTGCCCTTTGATAAGTGTTGTAGCCAGCCTAGGTGCTTATGGTCTTGTTTGATCAACACCACTGAAAATAAGGCAACCATGTTCAGGGGAAATGTCATTGTTTTTGGTTGTGAGTAGGTTGACAGGAGTACATTACTCACCAAGGTTACATTTTCAATCAAGCTGTCATGTTTTTATTTAAGATTTTTTACACACTGATGATGGTTCTTAACCATGAAAAATAAAAATGATTGTGTGGTGTGAAGGACAGTGGAGGGATCAGGTTGCCTTCCTACTCAACTGTAGCAACTGTTTAAGACTTTTAATAACATTGTCCACACTTGTGCATTATCTTAATCACCAAGAAAGCAACAGGTAACAAAACTCCTGATTGTTCATATTCCCTTGGTTTTTGTAACCATTTGCTGTTTGTAGGGAAAAGATGCGCTAAATGACTGTTAACTAGCAGCCGAATGACCACACTTTTATCCTGTGGTCATATTTGCTAACTTAGTAAGAATAAGACAGTTATGCAGACAAAGGTATATTATTCTGGTATTCTGTAAATTTGTCACACAGAAATAGCAATATGTTCTTGTTAATTCCAGTATAGCATATAATGTACAACTTGAAGCACTGATCAAGTCCCTTGGTGAATAATCCAACCTGGTTCGATTGTTGATATTAATATGCCATCTGAGAATGCAGTCTGCAGTATATTCTACCTTGTAGTGTAGCATATAATCTAAAGTCCATTGTCACTGGCTGTGGGCAACATTTCTGTTTGAAAGGAGTTGGTATTGAAAGTTAAATAAAAGGCTGTGTTTACGTTATAGAAAATTAAAAGGTCTCCGACCAGCAGGCTGTTTTACCTATAGAACTGCAACCAGTTTATCATGAAATCAGCTGATCATGTAAACACTGTAGACTGAGACCGCATTGAGATAAAAGTTATGTTTGCGGTATGCTGGAATGAATATGTCTACTTCTTATTTAAATCAAATTGAAATCAAAAGTTTTGCAACAGTAAATCTTAACTATACATATATGGTCTTTATCAAAACAACAGAATAGTACTGTGTTAAATACAGCTACACAAAACTATTGTTCTAAGGCTTTGAATTTAGTTTAAGCCAAGAATTGAAAAGTACTTTGACTTTAATTCAACAAGTAGCAACAATTTTTAAGACAGATTCCAAGAATATATCCAAACAGTAGTTCAAAGTGGGTGTGTCACACTGTCTTGCAGTGCAGGCAGGAAAACATCAATAATGGTTGATAATGGCAAAGCATGGTAGCTGCCACTTTGCATGTCAACTTCCAGTTAAACTGGCGTTCAGTAAGTGGCAGCAGGAGTGATTAATTAATTGTGGGCTAATGATTGGTTTAAGAGGCCCCAGCTGTACCAATTGCTGAGAATGAAATGAAATGAGGAGAAAGTACTCTTGTGAGTAATAACCCTTCCTCCAAGGTGCATAATTGAAAAAATGGGGCTAGTTCAGTTGATTAGGCTGTAGGCTGGATGTAAAGTATCAGAGCTGTCCTGATTGATTTTGCTTTTCTTGTGCAACAGATATGTGAGACAGCTTAGACTTAGTTCTTGTGTGTTTGTTGTGTGCACTGTGCAAACTGTTATTAACCCACACCAATTACTAGAAAGTCATATTAATTAGTCATTAAACCATTTATTCTGGTATAGTTCCACAGGCCTTGCGAAGTATATCTGTTGGATCTTTAAAACACTTTTCTTAATTGAATGGAATCCTTCAGGTTGTGATTTTTACAATGTAATTTTTACATTAAAGCAGTTTAATTTACAATAATTTACTGCTTTATCGTATTCACAATCGATACATTTTGATGAATTTGTCATTTCATTTCAGAATCAGCATAATTCCTAAATACAATAGATAAAAAAGGATGACAATTTGATATTTGGTCATGGTTTTAAAAACATTCCTTCTATACATATAACACCTCCTTGGTAGCCAGGTACTCCTGCTTAGAGACATGTATCCAATATTTAGATGAAGTGGTGAAAATGAGGACAGCTAGTTATCCAATCATTGACATTGAGAAGTGATAATTTTTGTTTGGTCTCATATCAGGAAAGTCATGTCACAGAAATTATCTTTTATGGCCATAAATAGAGTCCAACATTAATCTAACATATAGTTTTTGGTCAGAAGTACTTGTAAATTCTCAGTATAAGTAAAGGACACATAAAATGTACAAATTGTTAGCTGCTGTTGGCTTTTTCAGGTTATTAAGAAAGAAATTATTAAAAGCCAGTATTAGTTAATATGAGAAATAATGTACATGTGTGTACACCTTTAAGGTATTATCTGGAGGTTGAAATGTGCATTGAAATTGGACTGCATTTGATTTATGGCATTGCTTCTTTTTTTAGGGGAACGACCTTTTGCATGTAATTGGCCAGAATGTGGAAAGCGATTTGCCAGATCTGATGAGCTAGCCCGCCATTATAGGACCCACACTGGTAAGTGAAGAGCTTGCAATGTCTATTTCAGCTTTGTGCTTACTCTAGCATGGCATGCTTTCCCACTTGATTACATAATTTATATGTCAAAGATAGGGTGGGGCAGCTTATATTTTCAATTTAGCATTGATTTGATTTGAAATTATATAGCTATTTGTCTAAAACAAAGCAGGTAGAGTGAGCCCAGTATTTGCAGTGTTTGGTTGATACCATAGCATTGACCTCCTTTCCAGTAACCTTACTTTAGGGTCACAGGAACCTTCTTTGGAAGGTGTCCCTAGATCCAGGTTGCCAGATATTATTTATGTAGCTGCATATGGGAGGAGGGAACAGAAACTAGCTGACTCTTTCAGTATCTCTGTTGTTTGTAAAGGGAGAATTGTGTTATTTTTTTATAAAAGTTATGCAGATTCTTGTTATCTTGTACTAAGTTATAGCTATAAAATTACTGTGTTCGTGTTGGATGGCTTGATATCATTTTTACTTTAAAATTCAACTAAGAGATATGTTTTGCAGAGCACTTAAATCTGCTGTTGGAAGGAAAAATAAGGATGTTTCATCCATTGTTATACTCGGTCTGTTTCTAGTTAAGGCCATTACAATACTTAATAGAACCCCTGTCTGATTAACTCTCAGTTATGATTATGAAAGTAGAGAGAGCTTCTTATTTTTATCGTGTTACTGAAATTATTTCTGGACTCAGAGTGTGTACAATACAACACAGATGATGGTAATTTGTTTTGAGGAAAATTTTCTAATCGGGGTAGTTGCACCTTTTTGTGAAATGGTGATTTTTCAGAGTAGCTCCAGATTTTTTAGTTTAGATTCAAAGTTTTCTTAGTATGTGTAAATTTTGAATTTCAGAGGAATTAGTGTGTGTGTGTGTGTGTGTGTGNAACGCTATATAAAATTTGCTTTGCATTAAAAGTACAATCATTATTACATGTAGATGCATGCATGTCCTCGGTTGTAATGTGTAGTGTCTGTCCGTGTGTGTGTCCGTGTGTGTCCTCGGTTAGAATGTAAAATTCTTGTCAGCAAAAAATTAGTTTTTATAAAAAATTAATTTATAACATTCATACTCGAATAGATTTTACCCTAAATTGAATGTTTTTATTTTGATTTAACCAAGGAATAAGATGTCCTCGGTTGTATGGTGTTGTGCTGATGTCCTCGGTTGGTACACATAGACAAGTATGTGTGTGTGTGTGTGTGTGTGTGTGTGTGCGCGCACACGCATAAGTGTGTAACTGTGCTGAAGTCTATAATGAATGAAGTGTTTACGAACAGATCAGCCAGATACAAAGTAAATGTATAGTGCACTAAAAGGTGAAATTTCCTGCAGAACATTTTGAGCATACCATTCCCTTTAAGATGTTTCAGATACCTGAAAGTTGTCCCTTCTGCCATAAGGCTAAGATAAGATAAGTGAAAGGCTGTAGTGGTAAATTAACTTACCCTGCCTGTTGCACATCTCTTATATTATGAGAAAGCTATAGAACTTGCACCATGGCTTTTTCTAATTTGATCCATTTACATAGACCTTTGCATTGATTTCATGCACACCAGCAGTAGTGGCACATTAATTACTCTTTTTTTTTTGGGTGGGGGGGGGGGGGAATTTTGCAATACCCACTCATTTCTTTAATTAATGAAAAACAACTATCATACGTGTCAGTGGCCTATTGTAAACTTGTGTATGACTTTGCTTCTATTGTGGACATAGAATAGGAGTGGCATTTATTTCTAAGGTTTTTTTTTAAATACTCTGACTGTTTATGTTTACTGATAGAAAAAATACACAGTGAATGAAGAATGATTTTTCCCTATACCCCTTGGTAATTACAATATAGACTTTGTACATGTATGTGAAGCACAGCATCTGTCGGAACTGGAGTCTGATAATAATAATCTTCCTACTGGATATAATCACAGTTCAAATATGATTATTGGTGAATGCCAGGGGATAGGCAAACACAGTGTAAATAGCAAGATGGAGTAATGTTAACTGCTGTAGACAGAAGGGAAGGGAGGTAGAACAGCGGGTCTCCTGTTATTTCTAAATTAAATCAAAATTGAACTTTGTGTAACTCTGGCTGTGTTTACATAAAGGTATTCTAAGTAGTATAAAAAAGACAATAAGCCATTATACTGGATAATGTAATCAACTGGTTGAAACAGTTTTTAACTAGAACAAGAAGTTTGTTTTGCCAGCAATGTTTGTAACCACCTATATTTGTACTTTTTTTATCTTTTTCAAAAATACAAGAAAATATTATTTGCAATATGCCCAATTGTTCAGTAAACACTTCACTGTCCAACAGATGCATTAGATCATAATCCATGTCTTTCAACAATTATTACATCTTCTGTTTGATTCCACAGTAGACTTAAACAAATTGCCTGCCGAAGCATGGCAAAAAAAAAAAAAAAAAAGATGTCCATTTGAATAAGCAACTATACTTCAGTAAATGTGAGGTGGTGTTTAAAGAATAAAATTGCATTTGGAAAACCAAATTAAGTTAAAGAAGGGCCATAAAAAGTACTAATATACTAAATAAAGGTAACGGCTGTGTTCAGTAGTTGTCTTTGTGTTGAGGAAGTGAAGGTCCACTACAATGTAACCACGTCATAGGAAAGGTTTGCATTGCACTGTAAACCCAGACTTCATTCACATGGAGCGCATTCTCAACGAATTAAGCCAGGCTTTACAAAGCCGGTGACCTAAAAATGGCGGACGTACATGAAAGAAAAACCGCCTAATCTTTTAATAGTCTCTCCGCCTCTCACACGCCTCCCCACACGTCGTCCCTGCGGGGTACAGTAATTAAATCTCGGCTCCGAACATTAATATTTCCGTGAATATCTCTGGTGATATTATCTCCGTAGATAGTCGATTCATTGCTGCTCTACGGGCCAAATTATTCCTTTTTCGTCTCTGTTTTCAAAGATAATAGAACAGAAGAGCTTTTTTCCTTCGATCGCCTTCAGCCGCCATGCTTTCTTCACCACGAGTTTAACTGATGAGCATGCGCACTTAATATTTCTCAGGTAGCTTCCGCATGGCGAACGGAGACGCGATTTAATTACTGTACCCCGCAGGGACGACGTGTGGGGAGGCGGAGAGACTATTAAAAGATTAGGCGGTTTTTCTTTCATGTACGTCTGCCATTTTTAGGTCACCGGCTTTGTAAAGCCTGGCTTAATTTGTTGAGAATGCGCTCATGGACACTCTTTATGGTATAGTTGTCCAGGACCTGTCTTGTGCCTTTGTAATCACTACAATCAATATGTGTGTGTGTGTGTGTGTGTGTGTGTGTGTGTGTGTGTGTACACTTTGGCACTGTGATTGGTGATTGGCTAAGTTAAGAATGAGTATCTGCTTTATTTTATGCTGTTATTTATAGATACAGCACTTTGGTTGGGGTCCACACGTGTGTGTGTTTGTGTGTGTGTGTGTGTGAAAGAGAGAGGCACAGGACGAATCCTTTTTTTGCCTTGCTCTGCTTTTCTTGCTTGCAGGTTCAAGAGAAGTGGGTATCATGCCACCCTAATCCCCCTACCAACCCTTGGCTCTTCCACAAGTGTTATCAAAATTCTTTTCTGTATGTTAACATGTTGCTCAGGCTTTGAGAAAGACAGTTTTGATCCATGTGAACAGTACTGTCAACCCAGGTGATCATTGCTGAGTTGTGGCCACCTGTTCATTAGGTATGCATGTACACAGACAGCTGCTGTCCATTCCTTTCCTGCTGTAGTAGTCTTGCTGAAGTGTTAGGTGATAGCACCAGTTAATGACCTACAGCCTCTCGGCAGGTGGAGGGCAGTAATCTGATTGTGATTAGCTACAAGCTGGCTGTGGGCTTCTTTGTCCTCTGTGGCATTACCTGTCTGCCCTGGCAACCCTGGAGTGCTGGGATAATGCAGGGGGCCTGCTGACACTATGAGCAGGTGGAAATACCTCTTACTGTTAGAAGATAATGTCTAGGGTAGCTGGAGACCTGTTGGTTGCTGTATTGATTCCAGAGAGATGTATAACTGTATTTTATCAATGACCTGTATGCATGTTTCTTGCACATCTGTTATTATGGGATTTCTGTCAGTAGCTTACTATATATTTAGTGTTCTGCACTGTTTCCTAGTTTCAAAATGGGAGTAAAAGTAATGTTCTTATGTGTCACCTGGATAAGGATTTACAGTGGATGAAAATTGGAGCTTACCATTTTCTGAAATGTCTCAAATTAGAAGACAAATTTTCACAAAGTTCATGTTATCTTTGTAAAACCTTTGGTCTGGGGATCACACTGGTAAACATACTAATGGTTTGTTTATGACAGCATCAATCCACTTGTCAGTGTTGGACCAGTGTTGTGGTCTTCATTAACTGCAAACAATGGTCTTTGTTAGGTGATATTTGTGACATGGTTGATGACATCTGCATTTTTTATAGGGGCACAAAATATTGCCTGCACTGCAGGGGACATATCTGTCATATGTAATCAACCAGAATGGATTTGTAAAAACAAGAATACAAATACTAGTGGTAAAGGACATTCTCGAAAAGAAATTAATGTGGGGGTGTAATCAGGACAGAGCTTGTAAGCATAACAGAAATGCTTTATTTATTTAATGTTAAAAATCTCTGCAAGGAACATCGTATGTAGTGGGACTTAATATATTAACATACAACTGCCATGTATGCAATTATATATTGGTGTAAAGATGGTACACCTTTTACCCCTCCCCCATCCCTTTCCTCTTTATCAACCTTGATCTGTTGTTGGAAATGAAGATTTATTAATGCATAAGGGTTACCTTGTGTCATTGGCCTTGCTGAATGGCTTACATGTATATATGTATTACTATAGAAGTGTGTGGAGTATGTATTATGTGAAGGCAGATGTTCCCAGCTCCAGGCAGGTGTACTGATGGTTTTTTGACATGGAGCTAAAAAGTCCAACTGTTGCTTACTTAGACAGGGCACACTTATCACCGTTTTGTAAATCAACATAGATTTTTCTTACCAAGGCTATTGATTTTTTTCTGTAGCTTAGCTTTGCAGCATAAGTTGATAACAAGGACACTACAAAGGCAATTTGTGTTTAAAGCTTGTGTGTTTAAGACCCTGTAATGACGAAGCACTTTTGTGATAATCACAAAATTCCCCATATATACAATTTGGAATCACTTTTGAAACACACTGATAAATGTTTGATCAATATGAAGTCCCCAAACTATAAACATTTCTTTGAAAGCAGTCAGATGATAAGTAAATAATTTCAGGGACACAGTGGTCACATGGAGTTTGGTTTCTTTGAAGCAGTGCCTATGCTATTCCTATTGTTAACTTAGTATTCAACAAGACATAATTTATGATTAGGTCACAGAAGGGGATAATTCAAATCCCTCTTGTTGTCTTGCCCACTGCCACCCCCACCACTGCTTTGGTTATTTACTGAGATATTGCAAACTTGGGGGAAATGTCACTGTACTTGATTTGGTCCATTAGGCAGAATGGCAGTTTTTGTTTGTCATGTTTACTTTTCTGTGGTTGATATATATTTAAGAACCAGAAAGATAGGGAACTGTTTGATCACTGTTTGTACACAATGAGTGGCCTGGCATGTATTGCTTCAAAATCAATAGCGTTCAAGTCAACGAGTTGGCTTTTTATGCTGATCTTGACAAATACTTATACTGCTTTTGCAATGTACAAAATGTCNTTTTTTTTTTTTTTTTTTTTGAATCAACAAAAATTTTATATTTATCACTCCAAATGCAAGGAGTAATGGTTTTTGCCAACATCAAAACATTTTGACACCTAAAACCTTGTCTCATCTGATATTGTTGTAGAATATCAGATGATAGAGTTGTAGAAAATTGCACGTTTAAACATGAACATGATAGTGAAAACAGATATTAAATTGGTGAAACATTTTCATGAAAAGCAAATTTATTTTGATATTTTTTCAGGGGAGAAGAACTTTGTGTGCCCTATCTGCGACAAGAGGTTCATGAGAAGTGATCACCTAAATAAGCATGCTCGCAGACATCCAGAATTTGACCCCAGCATGTTGAAGAAGGGCGGAGCAGTCCCACCCAGAAAAGAATCCACCATTGTAGAGTTCCCTCACTTCTCAGCAGCTGAATCTTCAAGTGTAGGACCATAGGCCTCCTGCATCTGTCATGTGCACATTTCAGTCTGTTGACTCTTTATTTTCATTGTCTATCTTTAGAATCAGGTTCAGTAACCATGTCAGGTTATGTTTTATTATTTTCTAGACATGTCATCTTTCCCAGCAAAAGTTTGAGCAATTTTGCTATAAACTAGAATTCTTATTCTTTCTTCAAACACACTAAAGTAAAATAATGGTTTACATATATTTATCATAATGCATTTATATTTATGCATTTGGGGGGATGTTTTCATGCAAGAAGCCACAAGTACTTTTGAGATTATGAAGTCTGTGCATTTAAAGAACTTAAAAAGGATCTTACCCCAGCCAGGCTATGTGTTGAGGATGAAAATAAGTGTATATATTTATGTATCTATATATCAAAAGGCATGGCCAACTGAGTTAACAGCTTCCAATTCAGTATTGATGACAATTGTCATTTACTACAAGTAATAGTACAAAGCACTAGATTACCTCAGATGCCATAAACTTGCAGTGAGGTGATATGCTGGAGCACTTCTCAGGGGGGGAGGGGGTTTGGTGATGAGCAGTTTATCTTATCTTGTACTGTTAGCTGCTTGTATAAGTAGAAGTTTAGCATTTTGTAAGATCTGATAGAGGATTTCCAAGATGGCCTGTCATCCAGGATAAATTAATGAGAAATATGCATTAAGTTGTATGCAACTTGTTTCCTCTACTGATATTTGGTTATGGCTAAAAGAGAAAAACTTATTTAATGTTTAAATTTTATTCTTTATGGTTAGATTGCTTGCCTATTTTCTACCCTTTTGAGACTGAAGAGACATGAAATCGCTCTCAAATATTAGCAGAAGGTGAAACACCTGCTAATTTGCCAAATTCAGGTAGTAGTTACCACTTGAAGCAGAAGAAATATATTGATTCTTTGACAATACTTATTAAACCTATAGTGGAAATGGTACAATGACTATATAAGTATTTAATAATGGTGCACAGGTGTCGCAGTCATGTTATACTTATATGTCCAGTGCGATAGTGTTCGTTCAGTTATGGAACTGTATTTCGAATCCCATTTTAACTTAAAGGCTAAACAGAGCTGATGGGCTTTGAAATGATTTTCATCAATATAGATATAAAATACAGCTGAATCTTTCAGTGTGGTGCACTGTTTTACTTATATCAGCTGCACTATTGTCACTGATGAAAGTGAATACAACATTTCGGTTTCATTCACGTGTAGTCAGCATGGCAAGGCTGTTATAGTGTCTGTCCTTATAATTGATAGGCACTGAACATAATTGTTGCAAGACATTGGGCTGTCTGGTGCTTGCTGTTTTCTTATGAAATCTGCTGGAGTTAATTAATGTGAATATATTTATATATGAAGGTTGATGAAGAGATCTAAAGTTAATGTCACTGAGTGAAGCCTGCTGAGCAGTGCTTAGAATTGAATATAGTTTTATACTAAAAAGAAAGAGGGTGTGCTTCGTGGAATAGCCATGCAATTGGTGCATTTCACTTCATTCTAAAGGAAGGCAGAGCTGAAAAGAAAGTTCATTTTTTCATCAAGCTTTTTTAAGCTTGGTATCTTGGTACTATTTTAGTACAAAGTATATCTTAAGTGTACTGGATATAATAGAGTTTTCTGTGGAACATGTTGCATTTTTCATTTCAACATGGTTTCATAGCAATATGTACAAATCTTATCATAATTTCAGTTTGATGTTGAATCATTATTATCATTTTCTTTGCTTTTAGTATTGTGAAAAAATCAAAAGAAAAAATAGTATAGTGTTTTGGTTACATGTAAATTCAGTTTGTGATTGAATATATTATTTGTAAAAGCATTTACTTGCACACTTCACATTTATCTTATTTGTGATCAGTATGTTCTGTTTTATCTCAACAGGAGTACTAATTGTGTCATATATAACTGTATGTGTATAGCTATACAGACTGTATAGTGCTTTTCTTTTAGAATTTTTGAACTGCTTTGTTTTAAGATAAGTCTTTATCGAATCCACTGTGTACATAGTCCTTCATCTGTATATATATATATATAAATATATATCTTTTAATCAGCAGTGTACTTAAAGACGAGTGAATGTGACAGTTGTGCAGCACTCTCCTCTAACACAATCAAAGCAATATGGTGTGTAGTTGAGAAATTGACTGGTGTGGTTTTAAATATGAGAATAAACCACATTATTTTATTACTGATTCAAGTTTAAGGTAAAATGTACAGTATTTATTTTATATATTTAAGAATAAAGAATGGTTGTTCAAAATATTTATTTTGTAGTGTTTTGTCATTTACAAAACTGCAGTAGATTTATAGAATTCTATGATAAATCCTTGATTTTTCCGTACTTGAGACGATTTTCAGTTAACACTAAACAACGAAGGCACGCACTTGGTGGATGCTCGTGTCCAGATAAAAGTAAATGGATGGAAGGAAGCATGGTTTTTCAAGGCTCACCTACTTTGTTTTCACAACCCCACACAAAGACAATTTTTGTTTTGTCTAGTTATTTATCATCTCTTAGTTATTCATCGTTTTTGTATAGCACGTGCCATATGGGCATAGCAAACTAACTGCCAACTTTTTGTAGGCCCTATCATTTCCTAATTTATGATTGTTAAGTGAAAGGTAGGATTAAGTTTTGATGAATGGATAATGTTGCTTTTTAACTAGAAAAAAGTAATAACATCTTCCTATTTTGAAGTTTCAGACTTCATTGACATAAAAGCTGTTATCCAAACTACCCGCTCAGAGTTATCGCAAATAAAATTCAGCCGCACAGTCGATCACCAGACGCAAACTAGTTTTCAAATTGTTTCCTCCTATTTGTAACTGAAGCTCCCAAGGCACACAACTCACTTGATCTTTTACACTAGGAGATGTCCATCATCTACTGGCAAATGTGATAGGTGTTCGACGTCGTGTCCGCATAAACATGAGCTCACGTTGCAATACCTCTTGAAATGACTGTGATCGCGTTTCCTAAATACAAGAAAATTGCAGAGGAAGTCGGCATATAAAACACATACTTTTAGGTTTAAAAACGTACTAACTATTAAAGGAAACATTGTGGAGAATTCCATCGGTGATAAAGTGATAAGGGAGCAAAGGAAAAAGAAAGGTATGTATTAACTTTTAGATAGTCTATAACGCAGCCGCGTAAAAAGTGAAAACTCTTCTCTAAGTCATAGCCAATGTGAATGGGGTACAGTGGGATTAGGAATGATAAAACCGTTTTAATTATTTTTAAATTTTGTGGTAAAACTTCAACGACCACGAACTGAAAAAAGATGTTCCCATTGTACCTCAAGTAAAACCCTGGCCAAAATTTAGATAACACGTTTTAAAGAATAAGTATCATTCCGAAAGATTTCTCATAAAAATTGGTTGTGGATCAGGTAAAAAATTCAGAATGACAAATGTGAGGGAAAGCAGCTCCGAGCAGAAATTGCCACGGAGTTTAAGGGGCCATTCAGAACAGGGGACTAACTAGTCCGAGGGCCAAATATGGCCGACCCACTTGAATACTTCCCCACGGGATGTTTATTCATTGTTTATTAGCGGATTAAGCGACAAGCTTTATTTGATCGTCGCACTAGTTAGTCCCCTATTCTGAATGGTGTGTAAGTTTAAACATGCGCTAAAACCTGATGAAACAAGCATGACATAATCCTCTCACTTAGTCCAATTTTGCAACAGCTAGAACAAGCCTCTGGTGAAGAGGGTGTTATGATTACTATATTGTTACGATTATGATTGTAATAAATTCAACATTGTTTATCATTTTTTAAATCATGCTCTTCTCGAATGAGAAGACGCTTTTCGAGATGTCCAACACAAATGGTGGTAAGGTTAAAAACGGACCACACTACATTGCAAATATATTTAAACGTGTAGACCAAATACTGTTTTCTGGCATCAACAAAACACTGTGCGTGTAGTCACAGCCTAACTATATGTACCTAACTATGCGTGTAGTCATAGCCTAACTATATGTACCTTTAAGTGGTAAGACACTCCACGACACGGATGTACCAGTAGATGGTGTTTTCCATGAAAGTCCATAATGCCTCTATTCTACTCATGTCACCTTATCTTTACACCTAAAGTGAGAATCACTGCCACGCTTTTAATTAACCAATTAACTTACTGAAATTATACTTATATATAGTTTATTTTTGCCTTTATTCTATTTCATTTATTTATTATTTTATTTTATTTATTTATTTATTTATTTATTATTTTTTTTTTTTTGGGGGGGGGGTCTACGGACAAGGAGTATCATGCCTCATCATGATATATAAACCGCAGTTCTTGATCTAGAATTTTGAACAAATGATGAGGTGTCAGCTTTTTTATTGAACAAGTCACATTTACACCATTTAATTGCTATGAACAAAAAGGTCGCTTGAACTGGTACGAAAAACCCACTCCCCTTGTTTTCGAGTTGTTTGTGGATGATGATGATGATTGTGGCACAAAAAGAAACCTCTCCGGTGTTTTTGAATAGACGTATTGCATCTTTTATTCGCGCCTCTAGATTAATGCAGAAAAACCTCACGTTTGAATTGTTTCACACATCTGATTGCAAAATACTGCATTTTTAACCCGGCGGGTTAAATGCTGTCAGAGCTGTTGACCACGTATCGTCAGAATGCAAACGTGATATTTGGTGGTTTTTAAAGCACAGGGAGCGGTCTGCAAGTGAAATGGATACGTTTAAATTGAATTGGCTTAAGAAGTATTTATACCATCGGCTTATTATTCTTAGGGTCGTTTTCCCGATCGAAACTTCTATCCACAGAGCTCTGGGGGATAAGATCGCTTCAAAGATTTATTACATCGTACTGGAAAACGATTTTTCATACTAAAGAAAACGTAATTAGAAAATAACCGTGCGTTCCCTCTCTTTGTCTTACTTTATCTACTTTGGGAAATGTTAAATGAATACTCTTCTGAAAACTCTCCCATCAGAAAATGAACAACATCAGATTAGGCCCCGATGTGAATTATTTGCACAGCCTGCTAGGCTAATTCAGTTAAGCCGTAAGAGAGTGAGAAACTTGCGTGCAAAAGACAGCACTAAGTATTTTTTCACGGCATCAGGGTGCTGAGAGAAAGCTATAGCATTTAGAACAGGATTTCACTATTAGCTTGCAAATCATACCATAGGCCCAACGAAGCAATGGTATAATTTTTAAAAATATATATCCAAACATAATTGGAAGGTGTGTTTTCGTTTATATTGAAATCAAAATAACATCATTTGTAACCCTAACATTTTTGTACTTACTTGAAGGCGTTCGGTTTCGCTGTTCAAACCGAAACCAAAAGGCGTATTAAGGATCTTATTGCTGGGTGTTTTTTGTTTCTATCATATTTGCCTAATGGTGAGTAATCCTAATGATGGAGAAAAAGTCTCACTTGTGTTAATTATCATAATCTAAATGTGAAAGAAAAAGGGGCAACATAATCAAATAATGGCAATAAATGACAAGGCTTTGACTAGGTCTACAGACTCTAAACGATTCCCAGAGATTAGATCGATCCAACTAGATCGACTTAACTCCCTGGGGGTTCGCGCTAAATAGCTGTCAGCCGAACGGGCACGAAAGTTAATTACCCCCTTACAGCTTGTAGTAGGCGGGACGGACATTTAATCCGGATTATTTGACAGTAATCTAGTGAGACTCCCCACGGGGATAGATCGATCGATCTAAAATCTATGGGAATGCCCCCTTAGTCTGCTTCAAGGCGTACGCTGATGGTGGAGGGTGTAGAAAATGAGGGTGATCTAGATGATTATTTGGTCGTTATGCTTGCCGATCATTTTAAAGCCGTACTCAACTTAAATGCGTTCAGTGTAGCATCGATAAGTAAAAGATGTGGTTATTAAGCACCCCTTTTGTATTAATGTTGCAGGCCATGAAAGTTGGCAAGTTGGTTGGATCATTTTTTCTCTTGTATCCTTAAAGGAAATGTGAAAAGAATTCTAATCGCGTCAAATAAATAGTTTATTGTTTTTTGAATGCATTTGGGCATGAGGCTGCTGAACTTATCTATTACGTTGCAACACGATTAAATAATTTTTCTATTTTTGATTCCGTTTGAATTTGATGGTTAAACAAGTCTCTGTTGCGAACTAATAGGGTGATCTAGGGATCACTAATTGGATGCATTTACTGTTACCAGGCACTTGAGAACTCTGTACTTCAGAACGGAAGGTTATCATGTTTGGTTGGTGCCTCATCATCGAAGGAGATTTTCTCCCACTTTCTGAATCTTGTTAGGATAACAAGAGTAGTAGTTATAAAAGGAACTTATTATTAAAACTTATTCCACTGGCGTGTTGTGATGTACTACAATTAAATGGAATTGCATTAGACACTGGCACAAAAACGCAATTTGTCTTTACCTCTGTCACAAAAACATTTGACTCAACCGCTTTTGTCATATGTATTCCTCTGTCGCTCAATACAAAAATAATCATAATCCACAAATGCAGTGTTGGAAGGCGTCCTGTTGACTCTTTCATGTTGCCGTCATGGTGCCACGTCTTATCTTTCTCTGATTCTTGATTCCGTCATAAATGAATGCACCATCTGGTAACTGTAGATATAGCTTGATGAAAGTGGAATCAACATATTTCCTAAAAAAAACCTTCTAGATAACATTTGAGTACCTGAATTTGTTTATATTGTAGAGTTCTTGTGGGACCATAAAAATAATATATTTAAATGTAAAATGTGAAAAAAGTGGAGCAATGTATGTTCTCATTTACTCGTTCTGATAAATGATATATATGGTCTCAGTTAGTTCTCTGAAAATCTGGTGCCCTAATAAGGGTTGCGTAAGTGAAAATATGTCACGTTTATCTGTGTTGAGGGACCACTGTTGTGAACAACAAGAATTGACTGAGTACAGAAATCTGCATAAAGTAGAACATATTGTTTTTTTTACTGCATAAGAAAATATTGTCTGGACTGCAATCTTAAACATCAAGGTAAATTTACAAAAGATGGATTTATCCCGTTAGTTTGATACCTTACACACAAAATGATGTATAGTAAGCGTACAGGCGAATTCCACAGACGTGGTGTATTTAATCAAGGTTTAATTCAATTAGAGTAGGAACGTCTTACGTCATTGATCAGTTGATATATTAAACGAACACGTATGCGCGGTTTCCATAGTCACTGAATGACTTACAAAACAAGGGTAGTTAAATGGAACCTGGGAGAAACTGAAAAAATATTGGTGCAAGTGCCTAA